CACACATTGCTAGGAAGCATTCTTGACCAAATCTAAACCAGTTTATCAAAAGATGTCCATATAACTTTCTGCTGTGGGGGAGCTTGGGAAGTTTCCTATTTTACTAACAATAGTTAACATTTTTAGGCATGTTAAAATATTTTCTACCTGAATACCTTTTTTTTTTTTTTAAAGATTTTATTTATTTATTTAACAGAGAGAGACACAGCGAGAGAGAGAGCACAAGCAGGGGGAGTGGGAGAGGGAGAAGCAGGCTTCCCGCGGAGCAGGGAGCCGATGCGGGGCTCGATCCCAGGACCCTGGGATCATGACCTGAGCCGAAGGCAGATGCTTAACGACTGAGCCACCCAGGCGCCCCTTTCTACCTGAATATCTTACCAAGAAAAAGTCATTATTATTGAATAGTTGGCAAAATGCATCTGTTGGACGGTATTTTTTTTTTTCTTGAAATTTTGCTATCTTTGAAAAGCAGACATTTTTGATTAGGATTTCTGGAACTGAAAATACATGTGTAGTGCTGTATTGTTTTCAGAATACTTTCACATATGTTACTGCATTTGATCCACAAAACAGCCTTTATTTTTAAATATTTTAATTTTTTTTTGTGAGCTGGGGGGAGGAGGAGAGGGAGAGAGAGAATTTTTTAAAAAAGATTTTATTTGAGAGAGAGAGAGCGAGCAAGTGAAAGAGAGAGAGCCCTTGCAGGGAGGGAGGGGCCAAGGGAGAGGGAGAAGCAGACTCCCTACTGAGCAGGGAGCCCAACGCAGGGCTCAATCCCAGGACCCCAGGATAATGACCAGAGCTGAAGGCAGATACTTAACTGACTGAGCCACCCAGGCACCCTGAGAGGGAATCTTAAGTAGATGCCGCTCTGAGTGCGGAGCCTGATACAGGACTCGATCTCATGATCCTGAGGTCATGACCCCCACAAAACAGCCTTTAAAAGGCAGATGAAGGGTGCCTGGGTGGCTCAGTCGGTTAAGCGTCTGACTCTTGATTTCAGCTCAAGTCATGATTTCAGGGTCCTGAGATTGAGCCCTGCATCAGGCTCCATGCTTAGTGCCGAGTCTGCATGTCTCCGCCCCGCCCTGCCCCTCCCCCACTGCTGCTCTTGAGTGCACGCGCACTCTCTCTCAAGTAAATAAGACCTTTAAAAAAACAGATGAGCAAAAAGTTACTCCCATTTTAATTGAGGAGTAAAGAAGGACTTGGAGATCTTACGTGAATTTCCTATCACTTGGGTAATAACCAGTAGGGCTAAGATGAGGATACAGGAATATTCTGGTCCATTTATGCTTAAAAAGGTAGAAAGAATCAATATCCACAAACCTAGAATAGTCATAAGTATTATGTCATATCAGCAGGCCTCATCAGTTAGTAATTATAAATGAAGCTAGATATAATGCTAGAACCTGGGATTTATAAGATTAATGCTAAAATTACTTCATGAAATTGTGGCACAGTTTTACTTATTATTGCTGTATAATATACCATTCCAAAGTACAGTGGTGTAAAACAACCATCTTATTATGTTGGTGGGTTGTCCCTGTTAAGAATTGGAAGTTCAGCAGTGTGTGGATAGCTTGTCTCCACCCTAAGATGTCTGGGGTCTTAGCTGAGAAGACTTAGGGGCTGGGGGTGACTTGATGGCTAGAAGCTGGGATCATCTGAAGGCATCTTCACTCGTGCAGTATCCTTGCTACCTGTTGGCTTGGATTCGGCTTGGCTGTTGGCTAGAGTACCTATATAAGGCTTTTTCCTCTGGTCTAGTTTGGACTTCTTTAGAGCATGAGAGCTGGGTCTCAAGAGTGTCCCCAGAGAGCAAGGGAAAAGTGCATGGTGCTCTTATGATCTAGCCTCGCAACTTATATAGCATCACTTATGCCATCAATTAAAGCAGTCACAAGGGGCCATTCAAGTTCAAAGGGAGGGTGATAGAGACCCCACTGCTTCATTGAAAGAATGTCAAGGTTATGAGAAGGGCATGAAGGGAGATATTGTTGTAGCTGTCTTTGAAAAATAGAATCTACCTTTACCTTATGGAGGATTGTTAAAAAAGGAAAGGGTTTGAATAAAGTCGTATCTGATTCACGCCCCTGAGTCATGGTCTTTTTCCTTTGTCATTTGCTGCTGTTAACATAAAAGTGTTCGTGGAGTCTGTGTAGAATTGGTTTTCTGATCCCAAGTTGGAGACACTAATGGGAAGAAAATACACTGCAAAACCTGCATCTTACTGCTTTATATCCTGCCATTCTTTCTCTTGATCTGTATTAAAGTGACAGTCTAGCTAATAGGTCTACCTCATGGCACGTTAGGTGTGCTTTTGGCTGCTGTTCTGTAATAAAATTGTTCTGTATATAAAAATTGTCAGTGTTAATACAAATTGGATTTTATTAGCATATGCACTATTTTTTTGTTGCTGTAAATTCCTGGAATTCAGTTATGGTACACAGTGATGAAGCATCCATTTTTTTTGTAGAAACAGGGTAGTTATTTGGTATTATATTTTGGACAGAAAATTTAGCATCAAATAATGAGTTCAAAACTGTGTCAGAAAAATAAAAGCCTCTGCAAAAATGTTAAGATATAAACTGCAAACAATAGGCTGCAAGTTCTGTGAATTGTACATAAATGTTGGCATATACTGACTATGGAAGCCTTCCAGGTTCAAGGTAAGTTTCATGGTATATGGGTACTTTTCTGGGTGGGTTGACTCCAGTCACCCAGGCAAGGCCTCAAATACTGGTACTTACGCTGCGTGAATTGACCCAAGGTCCTGCACCCAGCTTTGCTGTAGTAGAAACCTGACATTTTTGGTGCACAAGGAATGAATCTGTCTCTGGGGAGATCTGTGTTAATCAAGCTGTGTTAATGAAGCAAGAATCACAGCTCTTGGGTAGATAATTTCATTTATCTGTCCTTTTTGCTATTGTCATATCTTTTCCTTCTACATATCTTAAAAATCCTGCCTCTCAATGCCATTACTTTTGCTTTATTTTTATTTATTTTTTTAAAAAGATTTTATTTATTTGCTTGAGAAAGAGCGAGAGAGAGCACAGGGAGAAGCAGACTCCCTGCTGAGCAGAGAGCCCAACATGGGGCTTGATCCCAGAACCCTGAGGTCATGACCTGAGCCGAAGGCAGACGCTTAAGTGACTGAGCCACCCAGGCACCCCACTTTTGCTATAAAGAAATCATAAGAAAAAAACAACATATTCTTTTACCTTTACCATTAATTTACTGTTTAGAGTGGTTTTCATTCCTGAAAATTTGGTTTTGAATTTGGTATCATTTCTTTTTATCCTGACAATTTCCTTTTACATTACTTGTATTGCTTATTTGCTTTCAAAAATTCTCTTGGCCTTTGTTTATCTAAAAGTCATTATTTAACCCTGTTTTTGAAGGGTATTGAATTTTCCAGCGAGTTTTTTCCTTTTACCACTTTAAAGATGACTTTGGCTTACATTGCCTTTATTCATACTGTTTTTCCTTTGTATGTTATGTGTCTTTTTTCCTTGACTGCTCTCAAGATTTTATAGTCATCATTGGTTTGCAGTAGTTTGATTTTGATGTGACTAGGTATCTTTCTTTGTATTTACTTTGTTTGAGCTTTGATCTGTAAGGGCTTCCCCTTCCCCCATGAGTTAATCAGTATTCTTTCATTATTTCCTAAACTTTTTTTTTTTTAATGCCCTGTTTTCTCCCTCTGGGACTCCATTTGTACCTATGTTAGACATTTTGAGGTTTCTGGCTGGATAGACTGAGTGCTTATACCATTAACTCTGAAAATGCAGTGTGTTCACCTCTAATCTCAAAGGTTATTCAATTTGACAGTTAAGAGGTCATTGGTGACCTTAACTATGGATAGAGAGTGGGAAATGACCTTAACTGTGGGTAGAGAGTGGAAAGTGAAATCTGTACAATAAAGAGTTGAATGAATAGGATTGAAGAAATGGAGGGACTTAAGTACTGTAGCTGTGTGTTTGTGTTTTTTGCCCCATACTTATGTTTGTGACTTAGCATTTTGTTTAATATTTAGGCCTTTGTCATAAGCCACATTTCTTTCTCCCCTCCTTTTTTAAATGTTCTGGGAAAATACGAGCCACTTTATGGAATGATTTCTAGGCACATAATTGCTATAATAAACTGTGCTTAAAGAAAAGTGTTTTACTCAAGGAGTTAATATTTTTCTTGATTTGTTGTGGCTTGTGGATGGAAGGCCTCTGACATTGGATATTTAACTGGCATCTTATTTATCTTTATGTACCAGGAAAACTGTGGCGAGTAACACACACAAGCCATTTTGCCTTGTGAGTTTGTTGCAGTACTTGTTAGGAAGCAGAAGTTCTCTATATTAGCTTTTGCTTTATTGCGTGCTAGAACATCATTGAATAATACCTCAGAATAAATGTGTTATAAAGTTCTTTGTGAAGTAAATAGATTTCAGTTTTTAATAAGATAGTTAAGGATGACTTCATTAGGTAATTTTTTAAACTAGATATTCTTCTATATATAAATAATTATGTATCTTCATTTGATCAACTTAGAAGTTTAAGTTTAAAATTTTATATTAATGTTTTGTGTAGCTGAATATAAAGGGTTGAAAACAAAACAAAGAAATAAAACGAAAGATCACCTACATATAGAGTTCTGGGTGGGGGGGGTTGACTTCCTCAAGTTTTCATTTGATAATGCTGTAGTCAAGGATGAAATATAATTTTGAACAGTTGTGTTATATTTTGTCTATGTTATAATTAGTATTTTAGAATAAAGACTAAATGCTTAAAATTGAGCCTGTTTTAAAGTGACTTTGCTTTCATGATTCCAAGATGACTGCAGTTTACTACTTCTTTATTTTGGAGTATTTTAATTATAAAAATTTCAGAATTTGACAGACTCTTGATCAGAAATGCATTGTTATTGCACATGGTTACATCCTTGGATTTGTTATCTTTTGGATATTGGATATTGGAATGTTATCTTTTTTTTTCCCTCCCCAGTTCAAAGCAGTATTCAACGATTTCAAGAGAAGTTTTTTATTTTTGCTCTGACACCTCAGCAAGTTAGAGAGATATGCATATCCAGGTAAGAGGAATGTTTGGAATATGTTTCTTCATGAATGTTGGTGTATTAGTCTGCTACGGCTGCCATTACAAAGCACAACAGATTGGGTGGCTTAAAAAACAAATTTATTTTCTCAAAATTCAGGAGGCTTGAAGTCCAAAATTAAGGTGTCAGCAGATCTGATGTCTCCTGAGGCCTCTCTCCTTGGCTTGTAGAGGCTGCCTTCTTGCCTCACTTGACCTTTCTTCTTTGTGCCTTGCATCCCTGGTGTCTCTTCCTCTTGGGAGTACACCAGTTGTATTGGATTAGGGCCCCACCCTTACGACCTTATTCCCATCTTCACATATGGTCAGATGGGGGGGGTTAGGTCTTCAACCTGAATTTTGGGGAGACACAGTTCAGTCCATAACAGTTGGACTATTGTTCATTAAGCAAGCATAGTATACATTGACTAAAGTTAGCCAAATATTTAATAAACAACTTTGTATTAAAAAACAGTTTTAACCTTTGACTAAAACCCCAGCTTATTTTTTTGAATTACTTTTTGGCAATAACTTTTTTTAATGAAAATTTTATTCCAGATATAGCAACATAAAAAAGAATTTGTGACAACAGCCCAATGATAGGATGTCCATAGACTTTATCATTCAGACTGAGGCACTTTAAGAGTAAAAGTAGACATCATGTTCTTACCCAGAAAAATTATTAATAAACTGGCACTGTTCTGAGCTGTGTGGTCACCTAGACCATAAAATTAGTAGAAATCTGAAAACAATTATGAAAAGTACTCTTAGCTTTGCCGTTTAGAAAAATTTGAGAAACTTAAAATAGACACATTTATAAAGAGCAAATGAACTAAGTTGTAAGAGGAAAGAAAAGGAAATATGTAGTGTATACTTTTCCAATTAAAAATATAGTCATCTTGGGGCGCCTGGGTGGTTCAGTCATTAAGCGTCTGCCTTTGGCTCAGGTCATGATCCCAGGGTCCTGAGATCGAGCCCCACATCGGGCTCCCTGCTCTGTGGGAGGCCTGCTTCTCCCTCTCCCTCTACCCCTGCTTGTGTTCCCTCTCTCGCTGTGTCTCTGTCAAATAAATAAATAAAATCTTATACACACACACACACACACACACACACACACACACACACACACACACACACACACACGGCGCCTGGGTGGCTCAGTCATTAAGCGTCTGCCTTCGGCTCGGGTCATGATCCCAGGGTCCTGAGATCGAGCCCCACATCAGGCTCCCTGCTCAGCGGGAAGCCTGCTTCCCCTCTCACATTCCCCTTGCTTGTGTTCCCTATCTCGCTCTCTCTCTGTCAAATAAATAAAATCTTTAAATATATATATAGTCGTCTTTGGTGTTAATAATATGTATGTGACTCTTTAAAATTGCATTCTTAAAGATTTAGTGTAAGAAAACGGAGGCTCTAGGAGGTTAAGTGATTTTTCTGGGATTGTAGAGTTAAAAGTAGAAGAGTTGAGCAAATTAGAAGTCTTGCCTCCTTTCAGCTGCTCATTTGAATGCTCATCTTCTCTGAGATGTTAATAATTTACAAAAATAAGGATTCTGTAGTTAAGTTTTAGAAATTCTATATTCACAATTACATAAGTTCTTTAAGGTTGGATTGGACTTTTTGGTCTTTCATATCTTCGTCTGCCTGGTCGATCTCTCAAGATGGTGAATCCAAACTTACGGGCCTCATGTCTCTTCGAAGCACACTAACATCTTGAAGATGCTGTCTTTATGTGGAAGAGTCTGGGGCAAAGTTTTAGATTCTTTCATTAATCATATCACCTTTACTAATATATGTATAGGGTGAGAGTGCTATTGTCAAAATCTCAAATGATTGTATGTTCTGACCCTGTAAAGTTTGATCTCAGTATTGCATAGATAGACTGCCTCTTCCACAGGTGGGAGAAAAGTGTTGAAAACTAAGATTAAAAAAAAAAAAAAAAAAGACCATACAAGGATTAGTTCAAAAGATTGGATATCCAAAATAATAGTTTCAGAAAACAGAAAATTCAGAGGAGAAAATTATCAAAGAAGTAAAATGAATGTAGCCTGATGTGGTTCATTTTCACCAGGAGCAAGAAGACATTGCAGTGAGTTTTTGTAAATTTGGAAGTACTTTCAATCTTGAAGATAGTAATAAACCAACTAACAAATAAGTAGAATAAATGAAAATTTTAAAATTATATTTATATTATTGAAATTATATTTTATATCCAAAACCTTATCATTAATATTAAGTTTTGTTTGTTATTCAGTGATGATCCCTTGCTTGAGATCAACATTTACTGTGTATTAGGTCCAAAGCACTATATTATATAACACGTCCACTCTTGTTAGTGAACCAGCTCATATACATAAAATGATCTTGGCATTGCAAAGTGTCAGATGAAGAGATCCAATTTTAGTAATTACAAATAACTGATTTATAGGACGATGAGGTTACTATTAATGTTGGTGGTTTGGGAAAGCTTCAAGAGTGTTGCATGGGTCTTTGAGGGAAGGAGATTATTTAGAGTATGTTAGATTTAAAGATACATTTTTAAGTGAACAAAAAACAAAGCATCAAAATGTGAATAATATACTACCAGTTGCCCTAAAAGGTATGTGTGTGTGTAATTTGCTCAAGTGTCTAAAATATGTCTGGGCAAATAAGATCAGCTGCCTCTGTACAGGGCAATTGGATGGCCAGGGCCAGAGTTGGGATAGTTCTTTTTTACTTTATATCCTTTTTGAATGTTTTTGAAGTTTGAACTATGTGAATTATATTAAGTAGTCCAAAAAATGAATGACTAAAATTTAAATCTCAACTAAACATTTTGATCATGTTCTGGAGCTGGATTGTAGTAGTGGTTGTACAAACAGTGTGAGTATACTTAATGCCACAGAATTATACACTTAAAAATGGTTAACATAAAGTTTATGTATCTTATGTATAAAAATTAACAAAATAAAAGGCTATTTGTAATCCTCCTTTCAAAGAAAACAAATCACATACACATATAGACAAAGCCTAACATTTTCAGTCATATAATTAAATAATACAAAATCTTCTTCCTAATAAGTGGAAGTGAAAATTTGGTACCCATTACCTAACTTCAGTAATTATCAACATTTTGGCAGTGTGTATATAAACCCCCCTGCCTTTTTCTTGAAATATTCTTTTTAAAAGATTTTATTTGTGAGAGAGTGAGAGCATAAGCGGGGAGTGGGGCGGGGGGCGGGCAGAGGAAGAAGCAGAGTCCCCGCTGAGCAGGGAGCCAAGGGTAGGGCTGGATCCCAGGACCCAAGGATCATGACCTGAGCTGAAGGCAGACAGACACTTAACCGACTGAGCCACTCAGGCGCCCCTTTCCTGAAATACTTTAAAGCAAATCACAAGCATCATATAATTTCAGCTGGAAATACCTCAAGATGGATCTCTAATTAATTCTTAATATAGTCACAGTAAAATAATTCCTTAATATAAAACAATGACTAGCCCGTATTCAAATTTTCTTAGTTGTTTCAGTATTTAAACATGGCCCATGTAATTACTTTTGACTTCTTTATCTCCCAAGATTTTTTAAAAACTTTAATTATAGATTTATAGAAAAGTTATGAAAATAGATATACTCTACCCAGCTTCTCTTAATATTAACATCTTGCGTAACCATAGTGTAGTTATCAAAACCAAGAAATTAACCTTGGTTTAATACTGTTAACCAAACTATAGGTTTTATTCAGATTCACCAGGTTTTTTTTTTTTTTTTGCTAATGAACCTCTATTCCTAGATCCAATTCAGGATCCCAAATTACCTTTAATTGTTAGTGTCATGTTAGTCTCTTTCAGTCTGTGACAGTTTCTTAGTTTTTCTTGTCTTTCATAAGAACTTTTGATACTTCTGAAGAGTCCTGGCCAGGTGTTTTGTAGAATATTTTTCAATTTGGGTTTGTCTGATATTTTGTCATGAGATTATGCATTTTTGGCAAGAATACCTCAAGTTATATGCCCTTCTTAGTGTATCATGTTGGGCTACATAATATTGATACATTTTATTTTTGGCAGTGTTAACCTTGATCACTTGGGTAAGGTACACTACTAGATTTTGGCACTATAAAGTTGCTGTTTTTTCCTTTGTTAGTAATAAATATCTTGGGGGAGATACTTTGAGATAAGGCACATATTCTGTTTCTCTTCAAATTTTTGCCCAGTGATTTAGCATTCACTGATGGATCTTTCCCCTCAGCAGTTACTTTTGTCATAAACACTCTTGTGTTCCAGTGGTGTGATTTTCTATTGTCCTTACTCTTTTTCACATTAGAGTTCTTTCTTGTAAGGAAGAGCTGTCCTTTCTCCCCCATTTACTTACTCAGTCATTTACTTGGTATCTGCGTAGGCTCTTGAGTACTCTGGATTATAATGCAGTACTATGATAATTTGTGTTGTTCAAACTGGTCTACCTTTGGCCATTGGCTGATCTTTCAGGTTGGCTCCTGTGCCCTTTGGTATGTCTCCATCTATTTCTGAGCGCTGCTTTACTTTTTGGCACCACAGAATGCTCTAGGTTCATTTTGTAATTTCTCTGCCCCAGTTCTGGAATTGATCACTTCTCTAAAGAGCTCTGTTTCCTCTCTTATAATATTTCTTACCACTCTCTTTGAAAAAAGTGGTTCATTGACTTTGTAGCATATTACACATGCTGGATTTGGATCCACAGTTACTTCTTGTGTCATTTAACTTCCATGCCTGTGGTTCTCACACTTTGCTGCATATTAGAATCACCTGAGGAGCTTTTAGGAATCTGAATGCCCATGTCTCGTTCATACCAACTCAGTTAGAATCTCTGACAATGGAACCCAGCTTTTAAAGCTCCCCAGGTGTTTCCAGTGTTTAACAAATTTGAGAACCGCTGCTGTGCATCCAGCTTCTCCCCTTTCCTGTAATGGTAGTAAGGTCTAAATGAGGCTTGAATATGTTCAGGTTCGGGTTGTTTTGTTCTAAAATTTATATTACGTCTTGTGAAGATTGATCAGTTCTCTTCTTGGTTTTAGCAATCCCCTTCCATTTGCTGCTACTGCCTCCCTGATCCTGCTGCCTCAGCTTCTCACACTGACTTCTCTTCCGTGTTCCCAGGAATCAATCTCTGATTCTCTTCTCACTACTCTGTGATAGTATTCATGAATGTGCTTTGTTATTTTTATGTTGGTGGCTTTAAAATCTCCACTTCGCTCTAGAGTCCATATTCACTGTCCCTACTTTGATGACCCATAGGTACATCAAACACAGCACATTCAGAATTGAACTTGCATTCCTCCCAAACTTGCTTATCTTTTGTTCTTTCATTTATTCATTTAGTCTCACAGCATATATTTATTTACTACCTGTTATGATCCAGGCAATGTTCCCGGCACCAGGGATGCAAAGTTGAAAAAATAAACTGGCTTCAAGGAGATTTGTGCTTGGTATATTTCCTCCCACTACCCGTTTCATTAATGGCATGGGATCTGCCCAGACAGAGCCCTCTTTGTATTATCCCACACTTCATCCACCAACCCCTGTCAGTTTGCTGCACTCCACTGATCCTTCTTTTATGTCTCTTTCACGATTTAAAACGTGATGCAACTCTACCCTCGAGGGAGGGAGCTAGCATGGTCTTTGGAGTAATACCAACTGGAATGTGAATTCTGGCTCAACCACTTAGGCTTGTCTTTATGCCCCTGAGTAAGTTACTAAAGCCCGCTGAATCTTATTTACCCAGTGTAACATAGGAAAAATAATTTCCTACTCACTCAGTAGCTGGGGGCATTGAATGTCATAACTTGCTTTACCTCTTACCCTGGTGAGTAGCAATTGCCCCATTCCAAAACCTGGGCCCCATCCTAGATGCTCCCCTTCTGTATCCTGCCTTCTGTATCTAGTCAGTCATTGAATTCTGTCTGTTTTTCTGCCTAAATATCACTCAGTGATGTTTACGTTTAAGCCCTCATCTTTTGCCGGTACAATTGCAGTGGTCCCCTAACTCTCCCGCTAACCGGGTGATCTTTCTAAAGCCCTTCAGTGTTTTCTCTCTTGTGCTTAAAACCCTGGAGTGAAGCTCGTGAAGTCCACACTCCATTGCCTGGCAATTCTCTTCAACATCTTGTTCTACTTCTGTCTCATTGCATCTCCTGTCACTGCTCTTCCCCAGCGGCTGGGCTATCACAGCTCTGTCCCTTTGCATATCCTCTTCCTCCCTGTTCTGCTTGGCAAACTTGAGGTATATTTTAGGGCCAGTTCTAGTCTCAGCTTTTCTGTGAGGCCGTTTCCAGATTTCTCCAAACACGCACTTTGTCTCACTGTACTACATACTTATTTTCTCTTAAAGCTTCATTGCATTTATTTGACTACTTGAATTTACAGACTTGATGACAACAACATCTTACTCCTTTTTATATTCTCAAAGCCTGTCACAGTGCCTGACAAATAGTAAATGCCTGCTTTATATTTGATGAATGAGATGAACATGTGAAAGTCCCCAGAACAGTGACTGGCAGAAAATGTCAGAAGATGCTTACTCATTACACCTCATGTTTGTAAAGATATATAGCACATTGCATTTCCCAGTTTATGTTAATTTCCCTTACTGGCATAAAGTATAAATCCTTAGGCAGGCTATTTAAAACGCTTTATATCGTTTTCCCCTCTATCTTTCTAGTTATGCCTTTTGCCATTTCTCTTTTTTCATATTATGTTTCCCAACCCAACAAGAGTTTGGTAGTTATCTCTGGTTGATCTTCACCCTTTCCTTTTGCTGAGAATCTGCACCGGTGAAGCTACTGTTAATGATGGAAGCGTGTCTAAGTAGAAGTAGGCAGAACCACTGCTGTATAAACCTTACTTTCTAGTTTGATTGGACTGTGATAATTGCTTGAGCTTTTAAGACAAAGTTAAACTTGCATCTTCTCTGTAGCACCTATTTTTTGTAATGTACTATCACATTTGCCACATTTTATTTTAGTTGTATGTATCTATTACCTACTAGCATGAGACCTTTGAGAGCAAATACTGTGTCTATTTGTTGCTGAACCAGCACCCAGCCTGTGAAATGTTTTTTGATTTACATGAGGGGAATGATAAGGGTTACTCACAAGAGGTCAGTGTCATCTGGGGTATGGGGATGTTTTGAATAGACACTTGAGAAGGGTGGAGGCTACTGGTGAGGGAAAGTGAAAGCAGAGTTAATAATAATAGCAGCCGGCTGCTCATACTTGTTGAGCACTTTATACGTCCAGGCACTTTACATGTATCAACACATTTAATCATCGCAACAACTCTAATTTTCCATCTTTAATAGATGTAGAAACAGGCACAGACAGGTTAAATAGTTTGCCCAAGGCCCTGCTGTTTGGGACTGTAGAACTCAAGCTGGTCACTGTGGTGCTTTACTGCCTTCCAGTGAACATAGTGAAACGAAGACTGGCCCAGTTAGAGCAAGGTGAAGGCAAAATGTACTCTTAAGAAAGGACTGATTTCTAGTACTCTTCTCTTTGACAGAGTCCAAGATTGATGATAATGGCTAAGGACAAAACTTCTACACTATATAGTGCATTCATGTCACTTGGGGATCTCGTTAAAGTGCAGATTCTAATTTTCTAGGTCTGCAGTGGGGCCTGAGATTCTGCATTTTTGACAAGCTCCCAAGCAATCACAATGCTGCTTCACTGTGGGCTCCTTGGTGGCAAGGCTTTGGAAGGTTCAGTGCCAAAAATATTTTATATGGGACTCTATTAGGTTCTCATGTAGAAATTCTAAGAGGTTCTGTGTCCCTTAATTGGATACTTAATTATAAAGTTGCCATGGTACAGAGATGCTGAGACTCTAGGCACTTGTTCTTCATTTTGGTTCTATATTAGAACCACCTGCTATAAAAACTAATGCTCAGTCTGTATTCCAGACCAATAGTCTAGTGAATGGGTTTTTATATTCTTTAAAAGTCACATGATTAAAATGCTCAGCCAAGGTTAAGAACCATTATGAGCAAACAAATTAATTTATTAAACTCTTTTAGAACCGAGGGTGCTTCTCTTCATGTTAACCAAATTTGTTTCCTGTTGAAATAAATACTGCATCGCGAAAGTTCCTGTGAATTGACGATATCTTAAAATTGCTGTAAAGACATGACTAAAATGTTAAGTAAATGAGGGTTGGTATCACTATAGCATTTTGATTAAGGCTTGTGCTGTTGGTAGGGTAGTATTCATCTTCAGGAATAAGAATAAAAATATTAATAATGCTTTTTTTCTGGTGAGAATGTTCCTGTGAATTCTCGTTGTGCCTTCTCAACCCAGTTTCTTTCTCTTTCCAACAGGGATTTTTTGCCAGGTGGTAGGAGAGATTATACAGTCCAGGTTCAGCTGAGGTGAGTTTGAAATTTTCTGTTAATTTTATACTTGCTAACTATGTGCATATAGTCCTAAACTTAAAATATGTAAACATGTTTGGGTACGCTCTTAAAGAATAATTTTTTTTTTTTCTTTTCTTTAATGCAGACTTTGCCTGGCAGAGACAAGTTGCCCTCAAGAAGACAACTATCCCAATAGTCTATGTATAAAAGTAAATGGGAAGCTGTTTCCTTTGCCTGTAAGTTGCTTTTTATTTACCGGGCTTGCATGTAAATATAGTCTAAATACTCACAAGGCAAAGAAACAGTGACAACTCCATACCAATGAGTATTCTTACTATCCAGGTTAAATACTATTTTCCACTAGAGGGATTCATGACTCCTTGGAGAAATGGCTGATTCCAGGTCTGGGGGAGATGGAAAAGGTGAGCCTGGACCATCTTGTGCCAGGAAGCAGGGGCGCTGTGAAAGACTCTTAGGATCACATCAAATGCATAATAACGGGGCATGACTTGCATATATAGGGTAGGGCAACATGTTGTGGTAGTTGTCTAAATTAGCTGGGCCTTCTCCATGGATGAGATGGTAAAAGGCAGAGGCTGCTGAGAGTGACTGGACACGGAGAGCAAGGATTCCAAGTTTGGGCCTTAATGTGCACAACTGGGGTGTAGATGCAACGGTATTTGATTGACAACCCATTGTTTAAGCAGTTAACAGTATATGGGCTTCAGCACTTGGGATACACACATGCACACACACATGCCCGTGCACACAATGGGTACAGTTTCCGGCCTGATAGATAACTCTGGACTCTCCTGTTAGTCACATCTTAAAATAACACTTAATTGGGCGCCTGGGTGGCTCAGTTGGTTAAGCGACTGCCTTCAGCTCAGGTCATGATCCTGGAGTCCCGGGATCAAGTCCCGCATCAGGCTCCCTGCTCAGCAAGGAGCCTGCTTCTCCAACTCTGGCCCTCCCCACTCTCATGTGCTCTCTCTCTCTCACTCTCTCGAAATAAATAAATAAATCTTAAAAAAAAAAAAAACAATTGTTGAACTGGATTATATATCTGTCTCCACTGAGGCTTGGAATAAGTCAGTAAATTAGTGCAGCTGTGTAGAAGGCCAGCAAAGCCATAATCAGAAAAGTAGGAGAGCATGGCCTGTTGGTCAAGCACTGCAAAGTGGAGGTGCATTTAACCCAGGACATGCTTTGAGAACTGATTTCACGAGGATGCTAAATTGCCATTTCAACAACAGAGACTACAGAGAAGGAGGTGGGGGAACTGTTTAGCATCCCTGATGAGCACAAGGCTAGGCTCTGGAAAAAGTATATAAGCAACACTGATGAATAGCTGAGCAGGCCGGACAGCATGGTCTAGGACTCTGGGCTCTACCAGAGCCAGATGATTGTCATTGAGCCCCCCAAAGTGAAGACGGCCCGTGGCCAAAGCCAACACTTGTAGTCAAAGATCTGACTTGATCGTCAGGAGTCCTGTTTTGTCTCTTCATAGCCTGTGGATTTAGAGACCTGAGAAGTACCGATTTCATGAATTTTAAAGAGCTTGAGCAATACTGCATGGTTGCTGCCTCTTTTTGAAAGATGTCTGTGGGGCTGAAATCATTTGAGATAGTCCTTTGGGGATGAATGGGGAAATTGCAGAGGTGGAATAGATGTGGTCAGGAGGAATGCTTACATGGCCCCATGCTTGTTCAAGACCCCAGTGGGACATTTTGCTTCTCAGGTTTCTGGCAATGAGCAACAGTAGATTCTTAGGAGCTGTTTTTTATCTGGATAGATCATACAAAGATCTGAACCAAGGAAAGAGGCAATTTTCCTTGGAACTAAAGGCCACCCAATGCCAGTGGGTGGCCACATGTGTGACAAAGGAATCCTGGGAAAATCACAGATTGTGGAATGCCTCTGTGCACACTTTCCATGACTGTTCATACCCAGTTTTCTTTGTCTGAGACATGTTAAAATTTCTCTGACCTTGGTTTTTCCTGTTTATCTCTCTCACCACCCTTGAAAGATCTAACCGTGAAGATCTTCTTGGTATCTAGACCTACCTTGAAGACCTGTTCAGTATCATGTGACTGCGCCAATGATGAGGGCTATCTGAGATGTGTGAGGTTCTACCTAAACTCTGGCATTGCTGCAGAAAATATGGTGGTTACAGTTCCACAAAATACTCCAAATGGAGCAGTGTTATGCTTTGGGATGGTATCTTCATCCATGAGATCTATCTATGGAGACCTCTGAATTTGTCACTCTTTCAGTCCTTTTGAGAGAGAAGAAATTAGAGTACTTTCTCTGGTAGTTTGTTACTCAGTCACTGTTCGTTTCTTTCCCAAAGCACCAACTAACCCTTCAGTACTTATATCAGGCTGTTTGTGAACATACCAGTTACTCTGTAATGAATCTGGCCCTCTCCTCTAGAGCCAGGGGCCTGCAGTGAGTGGCTCTAGGGGCTCTGTGAAGAAGGTGAAGAAATGGAGCCTTAGGACAAAGGCAAAGACAGATTTCAAAAACAGAAAGCAGGGTGGGGCAGGGGGCGCTTTCCTGACCTGATAGGGTCATCCCAGAGATCAAAAGCCGGCCTTTCCCATAGAGGCTTTTTGGCTCTGTGACCTTCGGTGGAACAGCTGCCAGTGCAACTGATACAAAACTCCTTAAACCACCTCTTGATCCACAATTGCTACTGATTGGGATAATGAAATATGGAGCCTTTACTAGCATGAGGCAGGTTTACGAACATCATATGAGTTTACTGCAGCCTCAGAAGACCTTTTGGACCTCCAGTGACCTTTTGGAAATTAGTATATTGAGCTCCTCACCACCATGGAGATCCTCAGGGACTTTGTTCCAGTTGTAAGAAACATTGACAGGTCACAAAGAAGTTTGACACGCGATCCTTGCCCATGATCCTAGTTTATTGCACAGCAAATCCTAGAGGAATAAGCTTGACACAGTCATGGAATTTCCCATGAGAACTCTGAATATATTTGAATTTGTGTCCTGGAACCAGTCCCTCTGTGTAGACCTTACTGCAGTAGCCAGTCATTATGGAACGATGATGCTGCATGTACAAAGAGAAAGCTGAATGAGAAATGGCATTACCTTGATAATAGCAATGTGTCCCTGGATTCTTAAGGCTCAAATGGTGATGAAAGCAGTTTCTGTGCTGTTTTACCCATGTCAGGATGAGTTTTAGGAGATGCCTTCATGCATCAATTTTCCAGATCCCTTAATACAAGGACAGCAGTAAGCAGCTCACAGCAGGACTTGCAGAATGACATGTGCAGCGTGGACAGGTACAAATGGAACTGTCTGAGAGTATCTCCCTTTCCCCGTCTTTGGTTCCCAGGGCTGTCAGTGTACAAACTGATGGCAAGATGAGAAAATTTTATGTTTTTAAGGACAGAAGAGAGGGAAAGGAAAAAAAGACCCTCTTAGAATGATTTTGAGGGGCTGAATTACATTTCTTTTTAACCAGATTTTGAGAAATTTCTGTAAATCTGTGGAGCTGTAAGGTTGGGGGCGTGTCACAGAAGTGGGTCGACAGTGGGGAGTATTACTTGGAAAGATTTTTGTAGAATGGAGAGGATGTGTGCTACAGTTCAGCTGACAGAAATCAAATATTTCCTCTCGGTGCAGTCAGAAATCTTCTTGGTGTTTGTCCTCTTATCGTAACATACTCTGTTTCTGTGTTCATGGAGTTCTTTTTTCTGATACGTATTTTTTCCTGTGTGAGTCATGCAGATTGTCTGCCTTACAGTAAGTCTGAGGTAAAGTCAACATTTTCTTCTTTTAAACATAACACTTCTGTCCCCCAATTTAATGAAATTCCTTTGGCCTAAGATGGGATTATGTTGGCATCTAAAAGATAATACTACAGTGGACTCAAAACTGTTGCACCAATTCAGTATTCTAAAAATTGATAAAGGCAGAGAGTCACTGATTTCAGGGTAATCAAACATGCGCACAGTCAAGTTTTTTTATGGAAACATTTTAATATAAGCAGAAGGCATAATGGATTAGAAAACCAGTCTTTGCAAATCCATAATTATATAATTGATCTAGGTAACCATCAATGGATGCTAAAACTATTAGATCAAAGCTTGATGAGGAATGTTACCATGGAGGGGTCAGCCTGACATCAGCTGAATTCCTCATCAGTCTTGACATTATTGTAAACTGGGGCAAACTCATGCGCCTCATGATGTGGTACAGTGGGAAGTACGTAACACTCCCTATGAAGTTTTGTGTCTGAAGATTCAAATCTGAATCAAATCAAGCCTGCACAACTGGTTACCAGCTTAAAATGTCTACAGGAGATAGAGCAGCAGAACTTTATACCATGAGGAAGCCTCCAAAAAGTGAGGCCATTCTTCAGGTCAAAAGTCCTGGTATCTTCAACAAAAAATGACATTGGAAAAGAAGAAGAGAGGGTGGGGGACAATAAAAATTATTCTTATTATAGAATAAAGGAGATTTCAGAGACAGCTAAGCACAATGTGAGGCTCTAGTTTGGATTCTGAATCAGACTGTAAAAGGACATTTTGTGTACCAGGCTATATATGGATAACATGATGTGTCTGGGATTTGCTTTTAAAAATAATCTGGAATGGGAGTGGGGTTGAATAGGTAAAGACGGTTTATGAACAAATATATATTGAATTGGGTGATGGGTATATGGGAGTTCATTATACCTTCTTCCTCTTTTTATATATATATATATATTTTTTAAGATTTTATTTATTTGAGAGACAGAGTGGGCAAGCAGAGGGAGAAGCAGACTCCCCGCTGAGCAGGGAGCCCGGCGTGGGGCCAATCCCAGGATTCTGGGATCATGACCTGAGCTGAAGTCAGATGCTCAACTGACTGAGCCACCCAGGCGCCCCATCTTTTTATATATATTTGAAAATTTTCAATAATAAAGACATTTGAGGCACTTGGGAAATTTGAATATAGACTGGATACTAGGTAATTTTTAAGAATTATGGTTAATTTTATAAGGTGATACTGGGTTTGTTGTTTTTGAAAGGTGTTATTAAAGCTTTATATAAAAGTATGGGTCAAATGGCATTGTCTAGAATAAATGTGTGTATGTGTGGGGTGTGTATTTTTGGGTGGGCTGAGGGTGGAGCCAGAGGCAAATGAAGCAAGATTGGTAACATGTTGATAATTACTGAAGTTGGTTGGCTGGTGGGTAATTTCCTCTACTTATGTCTATGCTTGAAAATTTTTATAATGTACAGTAAAAAAGTAATCTATGTTGACAGTATTACAGTAGTGGTAGTAGTAGTAATTAGAAAATTTCGGGGGAAAATGTTAAAGGAATTAATGCTGTCAACTTTTGTCCCAATTACAAGTCAGGTAGGATGTCATCACAGAAAGGTTTTTGAGTATATCTTTTATTGGAATGTTAGGTTGAGACTGACAGATTATCTTTTACTGGCTCTTCCAGCAGCCTTTTTAAAGAAAATTTTTAGCTTTGCTCCAGAGGTCCCCTGTCAAATGAACTTACGTTTTTTTTTGCTTTAGATATGGAAAAGCGTTAGAAATGTGTTAAAGCTACACATTTATATTTTAGAAAGTTGTAATTATATCCTGTTCTCAATAACCAGGTAATTAATGGCTGAGTGGAGGTGATGGTAACGGTCAAAAGGAGAATACAAGTTAACAGATAACTCAGAACTGCCAATGAAATCAAACTAGTCAGGTAGGGTAATAGAGATGGATTTAAAATACTTGAGGTGGTTGAGACTAGTACCAAAATTGATTTTGAATTTGCTCATACCTCATTCTTGTAGTCACCTCTTCTCCCCCTTCTTGTTGCTCTCTCCCTCTGCTAGACTGACTTAAAACATTGTTGCTTGGTGTCTCTGATCCCTGTTTCGGGAGTTTACTGTTTGGTATGAGTTATTTTTATCATCTTGGCAGACCCTGTGCCATTGTTTTATTTGGCTAACCTACCAGTGAACATCCGAGAAGACAGAATTAACTTCTAGGCTAAAAACAAAAGTTTCATTGGAATTATCCAGAATGTTGATATTCCTTAGTTTTTTGCTCGTTGAACCAATTCCTAGAGTCTTTGTAAGAGAATGAATTGTTTTTGTCTTATTTCACTTGAACAACTTTAGGTGGGCATAACCTTCCTACACGTGTATGCAGGTGCACACACAGTTTCCCTTTTCCATACCGTAATGGCCATTGTGAGTTATGCTCTTAGCCTTCCTTCTTCCTTGCCCAAACTGTTCTGAATGATTTTCAAAGTCTTGATGCAAGTTGTAGATTGCAAGTTAGGTGCATTCCCACTGAATAATTACTATCCTACGAGGCAGTGAAGGAGGTTCCTTAGTTGTGATAGAATGTGTTCCTTAGCTCTGTTGTGTAATGCCACCAATACTGTATTTCATTATTTCCAACGTGTGTATTTTTAACATCACTAGAATCCAGAGGTATCTTAGAGTTGCTGATGACCAGGTAATTACAAGCTGTAATGTACTGTCATTGCTTATATTTGTATAGTCTTGATGTTATTCCTGTGGCATGACTGGTTAGCTATGCTCCTTTGGTTTTTAAGCAACATATGATTTAAGAACATTTTAAGGAAGGTTCACAAATCCTGGTTGTTGTCTGAAAAGCTTTGATCAGTGCATTCTCATAAGATCCAGTTTGTATCAGCATTAACACATGCAGTTAACTTAAGGGTGTCAGTGATCTGCAAGGAAATCTGAGTGACGCTAGTGGAGTAGAATATAGTTTTAAGAAATCCTTGTATCTCCAGAGCTCTTAGTGGCATTTAGAGAGATACCATGAAACGTACGCATTGATGACTGAGTGAAAAGTGATTCAGAAGAATTTTCTGTATATTTAAAAGGAATATGTTAGCCGGTTCATTTTGCTTATATTTCTTTGCTATGCATGCAGGAATAAGTAGTGATATGATAAGTAGGTTGTATCATTAACTGAGTGTTTTTTTCCTTCTCAGTGGTACACAGTTATGTTACATCAGTGGGATTTTAGATTCGGTGAAATATGGTATCTGCTTTTCAATACATAGATGTTTTCACAGCTAAGAAATTTTAATTTTCTAAAAATTATTATATTAGGGACACCTGGATGGCTCAGTTGGCTAAGCGTCTGCCTTCGGTTGAGGTCATGATCCCAGAGTCCTAGGATCTGAGTTCCATTTCAGGCTCCTTGCTCAGTGGGGAGCCTGCTTCTCCCTCTGCCTGCTTTTCTCTCTGTCTGCTGCCCCCTCCTGCTTGTGCTCTCTCGCTGACAAATTAAATAATATCTTTTAAAAAATATGTTAGTTTTGAACATTACAAACTGAGAAGTCTTTGGTAATTGAGAATTGGATGTAATGTGAATCAAAAATGAGTATACTTGCTGTTTAAAACAAATAATGATTAGAAAAAGTAAAGCATAAATATCAGTATTACAGCCATCAAGCTAATTTAATGCCAATTGAAATACTGATTGTTCTTTGTTAACATGATCTGGTTTTAAAAATGGCAATTTCTCTTCTACTTGGAGAGAAAGCATTCAAAAGACTTCAATAATTCCTTTGAAATTCATTAATTTGTTTTTTTCCCCATAAACTATAATACATTTTATTTTTATTATTTTTAAAAAATATTACTAAGTTTTTAAATTTTAATTCCAGTGTAGTTAACACAGTGTTATATTAGCTTCAGGTGTACAATACAGTGATTCAACAATTTTATACATTGCTCAGTGCTCATCATGAGAAGCATACTCTTTAATTCCTATAATCTATTTCACCTGTCCCCCCACTCCCCTCCCCTCTGGTGACCATCAGTTTGTTTTCTATAGTTAAAGAGTCTTTATTTCTTGGTGTGTCTCTCTTTTTCCCCTTTGTTTTATCTCTTAAATTCCACATATGAGTGAAATCATATGGTATTTGTCTTTCTCTGACTTACTTCACTTAGCATTACACTCTTTAGCTCCATGTGGTTGCAAGTGGCAAGATTTCCTTGTTTTAATGGCTGAATAATACTCCATTGTATGTATATACCACCTCTTCTGTATCCATTCATCTATTTATGGGCACTTGGGCTGTTTCCGTAATTAGGCTATTGTAAACAATGCTGCATAGCGGTGCACGTATCTTTTTGAATTAGTGTTTTTGTATTCTTTGAGTAACAATCTTTTTGAATTAGTGTTTTTGTATTCTTTGAGTAACACCTACTAAGGCGATTACTGGATTGTAGGCTAGTTTGGTTTTGCATTTTTTGAGGAACCTCCATACTGTTTTCCACAGTGGCTGCAGCAGTTTGCATTCCCACCAACAGTGCACAAGGATTCCTTTTTCTCCACGTCCTCGCCAACAGTTGTTTGTGTTCTTGATTTTAGCCATTCTGACAGGTGTGAGGTAATATCTTACTGTAGTTTTGATTTGCCTTTCCCTGATGAGTGATGTTGAGCATCTTTTCTTTTATCTCTTGGCCATGTGTATGTCTTCTTTGGAGAAATGTCTGTTCATGTCTTCTGCCCAGTTTTTAACTGGATTATTTGGGAGGTTTTTTGTTTTTGTTTTTGTTTGTTTGTTTTTAGTGTTGTGTAAGTTCTTTATATATTTCGGTTACTAAGCCTTTATCAGGTATGTGATTTGCAAATATCTTACACTCACTAGGTTATCTTTTAGTGTTGTTGATTGCTTCCTTTGTGGTGCAGAAGCTTTTTATTTTGATGTCCCAGTAATTTATTTTTGCATTAATTTGTTCTTTAATCCCCAAACTTTGTTTTCCCTCTTTCCCATCCCCAGTATTTGAATGCATTTTGAATAGGAGCTCCTACGATGAATCAATACAAAGAGGTGCAACTTTATCATTTATAAAAAGGAAAAGATTCATTGTATGGCAAGATGTTAGTATCTTTAATTTTAATGGTGGACCATGGATTTTTTTTTTTTTTTGGTACTTTCTGAACTTGTGAAATGTAGTGTTTTTTAAAAGGTCAGTTTTTTCTCTGGATTGGTGACCTTAGGATGAAGATTGTGTGATTTCCAGGATAAAATAAGAATATGTATCGGATCTATGTAACAGAAATTAGGCAAATGTGTATCTATCTTGGAGAAAATGTTTGATTCCCTGACAGAGATTTTAAAATTGTTTTTTCCTCTTACGATTCTAGGGCTATGCACCACCACCTAAAAATGGGATTGAACAGAAGCGCCCTGGACGCCCTTTGAATATTACATCTTTAGTTAGGTTATCTTCAGCTGTGCCAAACCAGATTTCCATTTCTTGGGCATCAGAAATCGGAAAGGTAAAGACTTTCTGGGTAGCATGAAAGTGATCTCACTAGGAGTTGATTTGTCTTTTCTTAGCTCAAGCTACTAGCTCTAACTTGTTAGTCTTCTGATTGTCATTTCTGAGAAGCAGTAATTTTCAATTCAGGGGTGGAGATGTAGAGATTCTTAGGGTTAAAAAGTTTAAGATTTCCTGAATGTCATCTCTTTATTTTCTTGGAAAAGAAGTGAGTGTAATTACAGTATTTCTTAAGGAAATTCTTAATCACAGTTGTTTATGTATGTGTTTAAGTAGTGTTTTAAGAAACTGGAAACTTTGGGTAATGTTATGTATTTATGAAGAGGGACAAAGCTTTATAGGCTTTGAGGAAAATGGTTAAATGTGGTTGGAAATAATCTGTTCCAGCTTTTACATGAACAGCTGTTATTTCAGATAATGTGGGAATCTCATATGAAAATATTTATTTAGAATTACATTATTTTTCCAGTACCTTTAGGTTGATGAACTTGGGCTTTCTACTGATTCTTAGTCTTAAATGTGTTCTGTCAGTTATGGGATACTGACTCATACAACACAGGATTTCTGTTTTAGAACTATTTGTTTATATATAGAAATAATAGAATGTCAAAAGAGATTTCAGTTAATCTGAACACCAACTTTTAATCTTGCTATTTCATTGAGATAAAGGGTAATAGTCCTGTTTTATGGACAGAGAAATTGAGTCATATGTTTGTAGCAGGAATTTTTTGGTTGTAATACCAAGGCAGTTGCAGAACTGGACATAAAGATCTTTGTGTTAATATTTGGACTATAAAAATATTACTGTCTCTCTAATGATTGTTTTCTTGAGCTCTCCGTTTTGAATTTTTACCGTAACTTCTCTGTATTATCATAGGGCACTGATTCCTGATATTTTTCATTTGCACAAACTGAAGGATTTAGAAAATCTTGATTTAGTCCCAAGTTAGACACTGTTTGATTTTAGCAAAATTGCTTAATTTCCTGAGGCCTACTTAAAGATAAGTAAAATCTTGAGAATGGGTATTACCTGCAAATGCAAGGGACATTGTTAAATGAGCAGGTATTAATGCTTTAAAGCTTATGGGAGGAATTTGAATAGAAGAATATATCTGTTTGAAATAATTATTAACTTACAGATTTTTGAGTAAATGATTGTAGACATTGAAGACCTGGCAGGGTTTTTTGCCCTGTAATGGGAATAATATTCTTTCCTTGTAATTAAAATGATTGACTTTAAATTTGCATACTATATTGAGTATTCAGATACTTAAAAGACTGTTGCAGGACACTAAAAATGACATAATATTTGGCTTGGTAACTATTAAAAGTGTTTTGTTTATTGAGGATCAATTGAATGAATATATGTAGTAAAATAGTAAGATAGATTTTTAGCATGTAGGTAAAATTCTATTTCATCTCTTCATAGCTCTATAAATAGCTAACGAAGGTTCCTTTGTGCCAGATCTAAGAGGTATGGGATTGGATGCTATTATTTTCTGGCCTTGTCTTTTTTTTTTTATCATTTCTTCATGTGTCTTAAATACTACAGTAACTGTTCCTTCCCTAATGTGCATTTGGAAACAGGAATTAATTTGTCGAAGTTTTTCTTAGAAGAAAGCCGATATTGGGTTCATTTGAGGATTATTAGCTCAAGGCCATGTATGAGGTGGTCTCTTCTGCCAGAATTAGAACTTTGGAACTCTGGATTTGAAATGTTAATTCAGACCACTGGTGTTTGAACTTTCTGTAATGGAACCCATTCTTCAGTGAAAATATTGTTGACAGTTCCATTACATGAAAACAGAACAATTTTAGTTAGAAGAGGGCATGGCAGGGTACATTCTCATTCATACCATGATGGCCCTAGGACAATTAGTTTTGCTAAATTAGAAACACAGTTTGAAAACTACTGATCTAAGATATGTTATCTTTCACATGGATGTTTTAAAGTGATAAGTGATTGAGAAATACCTTTAATATGATTGAGTTTTATCTTCCCTAAAATAGCTGAGTTGATTTTGTTCCCTTCCCAGTCCTTGACCTTCCTGTGAAAGTTATTTTGAATGTTATTTTTCGAAACCGGAGTTTCTTAGACAAGTATTTTATGTAAATAGACTATTATCTCTCATCTTTAATACAGATTATCTTTCTTTGTAGAATTACTCCATGTCTGTATATCTTGTACGACAGCTCACATCAGCCATGTTATTACAGAGATTAAAAATGAAAGGTATTAGAAACCCTGATCATTCCAGAGCACTAAGTAAGTAATGTTTATAAGACTGAGCATATGAGATGCTTTAATGGAAAAAAAAAAAAAGCCTCAAATATACATTAATACAGGAATAATTTGGGAAGAATTATTTAAAAACCTAAAATGAATTTTGAGTTAAAAATACTCTAAGAACAGAGCCCTATAAATTGAAAAACGCTTCTTAGAAATCACTCCCAAGGATCAGTTTTAAATCCCAACTAGTCTGATTTTTGGCTTTTTCATGAAAACTTATTTAGGTAAATGTCAGGTTGATGGTAATTTTGATGCATATGTTGATTTGCGAATAGGAAATAGAAGTCTTCAGAACCTCCAGTGTGTAATAGAATGTACATTTTAAAAAATTCTAAATGAAGAAGCTCGTGTTGCAGAAAAAGTGTTTATCTATCAACAGTATTTGCCTTCTCAAGTTTTATTTTGAACTTTGCTTTCATAATGTATAATAATAGAGAAAAAAGTCTAACCCAAACTGTAAATAATTCAGTAACTTAATTTAATTGAACAAGACATTTTTCTGGGAAAGAGAATATTTTTCTCCCAACTACCTCCCATACCATTGAATGAACCAGAAAGGAGAAAAGGATCTACAGTACGAAAAGGGAGCCAAGTAGGGTTCTTTAAATGGTGTTGCGTTTCTTGTATTTAAACCATTCTCATCTCCTTAAACAGCAGAGTAGCGATGTTCCTGCCTAGAGCTGGAAGCCAAGGAAGCGCTTCCTTCCGTTTTCTAGCCCTGCTGCAGTTCCAGTTTCCCATTTCCTTGCCTTTTCTCTACAATGGTGTTGAATTGAGTATTAGGCACCTAGAGGCCGTGCATATATTTATAAACTTGTAGAGACCGTAACTTGCATACATTATCTGGTAAATCAAATTGCAGAGACATTATGTGCACATCTATTGTAGTTTTCAGTTGTCAAAGGAAGTATAAGAATATTTGGCCTTTTCGGTTTACAAATTTAATAGTTGTTGGAAACAACCAATACCCCCAATAAAAAGTCCTGAGTGTATGTGAGGAAAGCATTGAAGCTCCGAGTATAGCTCCTTTCCAGGTTCCTTTCCCAATTGTTGTATTGTTCTTCAGTCTTATACAGCTTTCTGTTTTGCATCTCTTCCTTACCTGCAGTTTTACTTTTAAAAAGAAATTTAAAAAATTCAATTAAACATGTGATCTAGAGTTTGCAAGTTAATAGTTCTTTAACCTAATACTGGAAGTATGATTGTGTTTTCACATTAATACTCAACATTTTGGGGGTTTTTTGTTTTCTTTTTATAGTTTCTTGACCTACTCAAAGTGTTTGGGAAACTTTGAATAAGATGATATATATTTCTATAATTCTTTTCAGAATATCACAGTTCATTAAAAATTTTTTTAAATTCCTTTTCTTTCTTTTTAAAGTTAAAGAAAAACTTACTGCAGATCCTGATAGTGAAATTGCTACAACTAGCCTTCGGGTATCCTTGATGTGCCCTGTAAGTAAAGAAACAAAACATTCTGGGGTATTTCACTTTTTGTAAATGACTTGTTTTCCTATATAAGTAAGTGTGGAAATGAATGATAACCTTATGATAGAATTTTGAACTTTTGTCATTTTCCCATTCAGGAATTTTAATGATTAAATATAATTCTAAAGAAAGCAAATGTTCTTCAAAAAATGACTAAGCAAGGAGAGACCTTAAAAGGACATTGTATCGAAGGGGGAAGAGAGCTTTATGTTCAGAATAATCTGTCACAGTTTTTTGCTGTAGATAATCCACAGCTAATAGTAAGCATACAGGGAGAATAGAGAGTTGGTTCCTTTTATCAGAATATAAACTGTATTGAAAAATAGCAATAAAATTACTATCACCTAATAAATGCTAATTGATGGGTCTGGTTTAATGAATTAGAATGTTTGAGATGTCTTAATCTGTTTGTAATATACTTCTAAATTGCATAGTAATTTATGTCTCTTTGCATAGAAACTACGGGGTGGAAATCAGTCAGCAACTCTCAGATCCTCCTGTGTGCTTGTTACTGAGCTAATTTTGGGAGAAAATACTGAGGACTTGATAAGTTGTCAGAAAGTTAATAGTCTACTTTGAGAGAGAAAACTAACTCACATGAGAAAGGGAAGACACATACCAAATGTAACCTTGCGAGTACCAAAGAGATGGGAGAGGTCAGGAATAGTGGATGAAGGCTTCTTTGAAATCAGTACTGGTGGAGGGGACCCTTTACCAGATGTGAGGAACTTTATGAGAAAAGTCACGGAATCAGGAATGTAGTTTTGGGGGCACCTCATGACCAGCCACCATTGTGAGAAATGTACAGTATTTAAATGGAGAGAGAATTGTGTCAGAGAGAGGGAGAGAGAAAGGAATAATTTGTTGAGTTCCTGTGATGTGCTTCTTAAGTTAACTGTCTTGGCAGACCTGTGGGGAAGAGTTGTTCCCATCCTGTAGATGAGGAAACTGGGACTAAAAGTGGTTGGATAACTCACCTCACAGTTAGTAGTAGAACAAGGGTAAAAACTTTGGTCTTCTGACATTATTCCAGTTACCTTAACAATATACCATAATACCAAATTGGGCTAAAATATGTTATCTTAGTTAGAAGTCCACCTCTCTTTCACCCTGGAAAGTGATGTTTGCAGATCTCTTTCTTTCTGAATTTATTTCTTTATTATCATTAACTTGAACTAACTTAGATTTATTGAAAAGGAATAGAAATGCGTGAAATTGGGATTGCTTAGAAATGGGGAACCTGTAGTTACCAGATGCAGAGAGAAGGTCTGCAGTCCCAGCAGAGAATGCCCTGAAGTGGCAGAGGCCTTAGAGGGCTTGTGTTTGGACCCAGGACCTCCTCTTCTACCCCCATACTGTGTGCAAACCTTGAGGCCTGAGTTCTTTTGAGTGTCTTCACATTACCCTTTTCCTCCCTCTCGTGTTAAAATTGATGTTAAATTGAAACACAGGAAATCGCCATTTTTTGGTTAAAAACAGTTGAATATTGACAGTTTTCTTACAGTTTAAAACCCTAGTATGTTAAGCAAATGTTAATTGCTGGCTATGTTCTAGGCACAGTCACTGCATGGGAAGGGAACTCACATTACCTTTATGTTTTAGTAGCAGACTATTCTGTCAGGAATAAAGTGCTCCTGTATAGCTTACCTAAGGGTTCTAACGGTTGCATGATTCCATTTTCTGTCTTGTTTTCTTGGCACTTGTTTTTTTCCTTTTTTTCTTCAAACACTGCTATTCTGTATGAGAACAACCCAAACAAAACACGATGGACTAACATACTAATGGACTCTCAGATTTTCAAAATAGTGAAAGTGGCCTATCAGAGTGGTTAAGATTCCTTCTATATAAAAATAGAGAACAGTTCCTTTTCACTAAGTCTGTTTTGCAGACTGTCTTTTGAGCTTTTTGAAAAAAATCATCCTACCTGATTTTTTCAGCACTTTCTAAGAAAAGAGTAAGTGGTACTTTTCAGGCTGTAGTAGTGTTAACACGAAGTTGAAGCTAACTATAGTATATGATACATGTTAATTAGAACACCAGATGTTTTGATCAAATTTAACAGATGGATGACAGAAGTTAGATGATGAGAGGAGTTTTTGAAGAGGAGATAATACCAGTATTAGTTGAAGAGAGCAGAAAGGAGTGCAGCCTGCTGGCTGTGGAAGTAACACTGGATCTGGTGCGGTGCTAGGAAATAGAGAAGCACAGAGTGGATCAGAAGCATTTGGAAGGATAGAGGTGAACCCTGGGATCAGGAGGCAGAAATGAGAGAAATGACAGCTTTAAGGTAGTGGAAGAAGTGTTTGTTCTATTTCACAGTATGTTTGTAAAATGATTTAGAGTAGACATGAGTCTGGGTAGTGGGGAGCACAGTCCAGAGCCTCTATCCTTGGGACCAATGGAAGGCAATTTTACAGTCGTTCTTGAGGGAGGGATCTGACGACTAATTATATTTCTGAACACAGTGTCTGAATTTTACACAGGGGTTCTATCTTAGTGATAATCATCTAGTGATTTTCTGCCTGTCCTGTAGAGATGGGCTGGGTGGCTGGGGGATAGAAAAGGGAGCTAGGTTTGATTTTATCTTTTAAGATTCTGACTCATATGGTTTGGAACCACTGATTTGGGCCATTTTTACTATATACATTCTTTCTTAATTTACATAGATACTAATTAGGTTACAGTAAAGTGAAAATCAGTTTAGGAACTCTATGCATAACATTTCACTCTGATGTTTATAGCAACATTATCTACAATAGCCAAATTATGGAAGCAACCCAAGTGTCCACTGACTGATGAATGGATAAAGAAGATGTATACATATGTGTGTGTGTACGTACACACACACACACACACACACACACACAGGAATATTAGCCATAAAAAAGATGAAATCTTGCCATTTGTAATGAGATGGATAGAGCATGGGTATTATGCTAAGCAAAATCAGAGAAAGACAAATACCATATGATTTCATTCATATATGGAATTTAGGAAACAAAACAAATGAGCAAAGGGACAAAAAGAGAGAGACAAACCAAGAAACAGACTCTTAACTATAGAGAACAAAGTGATGGTCACCAGAGGGGATTGGTGATGAGGATTAAGGGGGACACTTGTGATGCATACCAAGTAACGTATGGAAGTGTTGAATCACCTATATTGTACTCCTGAAATTAATATTACACTGTATGTTAACTGGAATTTAAGTAAAAACTTAAAAAACAAAATCAAAAAAGGTGTTGCATTGGTTAGGCATGATTTCTTTTATCCATCCATCCATTCATCCATCCATTATCTGACTAAATAGAATTTAACAATATACAAAACTTTTATTGACACACCATAATCAGTATTAGGAAATTGATCAGATTTGGCCAGTTGGTAATAAACGCTTTTTTTAACTTGGGAAATGCTCATTAACTCTTGTAAGACACTAGGATTAAATTGAGGATCAGCAACTTCCATAGTTGTGAATGTTTTCAGTTCTGTATGTTGTGGAAATTCTAAGGCAGTGACAGGAGAGATGAAGGCGGCACTGAAGAAGAAGAAAAACAAGTTCTCAAAGCGTGGCTCAGGGATACTTGGGGGCCCCTGAGACTCTTGGACGAGGTTCACAAAGTCAAAGCTATTTTTTTTTTAAAGATTTTATTTATTTATTTGAGAGGGAATGAAGGAGAGACAGAGAGTACAAGCAGGGAGGAGAGGGAGAAGCGGGCTCCCCGCAGAGCAAGGAGCCTGATGTGGGGCTCGGTCCCAGGACCTGGGATCATGACCTGAGCCGAAGGCAGATGCTTAACTGACTGAGTCATCCAGGCGCCCCAGTCAAAGCTATTTTTAAAATAATACTAGGATGCAGTTTGTCCCTTTTTTGCTCTGATTTCCCTCATGAGTAGGTAGTGTTGTTTAATAGGGATTACCTGAATGTTGGTGATGTGCTCCGAGGGTTGATGTAGTGTGTGTTTTTGTGAATTCTTATGTTTTAAAAATGTTCGCCTTAATTTCTACTACAATAAATATTGGCAAATATAACCTATATACATAAACAGTCCTTGAGATTCTCAATTTTTAAGAGTGTGAAGGCACTCTGAAGCCAAAGGTATGAGAACTAGTAGCCCCCCCCCAAAAAAAACCATAGTAGTCCGAGTTAGAGCATTATTTAAAAGAAACAAATTACGCAAATTGACTAATATTACCTACCTTATTATAAAATTATTCAAATAGAACATTAAAACTTTAAATTGATGAGGTACTATTACTCAGAAGTAATATTACTAATAGTATGAAATATATCTTTCTAGATTGAAGTTTATGTTTATAATCATGTGTTTATTGGAAAAAATTGTATTGTGCTACATACACTATTCTGTGGTTTACTGTTATAAAATTAACAGTATATCTTAACTATTAATATCTGTAGATATGTCTTATTTTAATCACTATAGGTATTTTGTTGATTGGGTGTGGTGTAAATTGTTCTACCTTTTTTAGTGATTATTTAGGTTGTTTCCAAATAAAAAGCAATGAAGAAAAATTCCTAAGTAAAACACTAGCCAGTAGAATCCAGTACTTTAAAAAGAATCCAGTATTTTAAAAGAATAATACGTGATAACAAAAGGATACCTCTTAGGAATGCAAGTATGGTTTGATTTTAGAAAACCTGTGAAAATTATTTGTATTAATAATTGAAAGGGTGTGGGAAACCCCTGTAGTCATCTCATTAGGGGGCTAAATAGGTGTTTAGTCAGCATCAATTCCTACTAGAACTCTTAGCAAAATAGGAAAAGGTAGATAATTGAAACCAAGAACCAGCACCATGTGTTGTTGTAAAACTAGGAGGATCCTCATGGAAGCAAAAAACATTGGCGTTTGTGTTAGAGCTCCACCAGCTGGGTCTCAGTGAGCGTGTTTGTAGCCTCACGTCATCTCAGCATCTTCATTTCAAAAGCAGAAATACAGATACTAGTCTTTCTGCAGTCATAGGGCTGTTAGAATTCTGTGAAATGTAGGTAAAAATCCTTAGCTCCCAGTAAGATTCCACATGACTTTGGAGATAATTTGTTATTAAAGGAAGGGAAAATACAGAAACAAATATCGTAAGAAGAAAAATTGCCTCAGGTTCTATTCTTTTTTTCTGTCTTAAATAATGAGTTCTGTTGTGCTATGTACTTGGATGAATCGCTGTAACTTATAAGATCCCTTTTAGAATTTTAGTTAAACACAGTATAGCACAGTGATAAGAGTATGGACTCTGGAGCCAGAGCTGCTCGGTTCAGATATTGGCTCTGCCACTTTCTAACTTTGTAATGATAGTCATTGTGCCTCAGTGTTCTTGGGGTGGCGGGGGGGATGATAATCTAGATCAATCATACAGCGCAGTTTTATATAAATATATATAATATATAAATATATATTTTTATATATATAAAGTGTCACTTTATAATATAAAGTCATCAACATTGTGCCTTCCATGTAAGTAGAACTATACAAACAATAGTTATTGCTGTGGTGACAACTTGGCTAAATTGATTTTTTTAATTATGAAATAACCAAATGTTCATTTTAGAAGAAAGAAATTATAGATAAACCAAAAGGGGGGGGAACCAAACAGGGGCATTCTAAAAATCCTACCCCTCAGGCAAAGTTAACAGTGTAATTTTGCTGTGAATTTTTCTAGACTTTATAGTGCTTGTAAAGGAGTCCGTCCTTCTTCCCTTTCTTTCCCTTTGCCATTTTTTAGTCTGTCTTTATTTGTTCTATCATCTGGTCAACAAATACTGAGCACGTGCTGCATTCTCGGTATTGTGCTGTGACAGTTGGATTACCATGGTGAACAGCGACATGGACCTTGTCCTCGTGGAGCTTAGAGTCTAGTGGGAGAAACAGATTTTCTATCAGAATAACACAGAGCTGGTTATAAACAGATATTTTCTGCAAGGAAATATATAGGGAGGGCTGTTGAAAGGCTATACAGAAAGACTTAATCTAATCTGGGTGTGTCCTGATGTTGGTATACCTCTACCAATTGGAATAAGAATTGAACAAAGCACTATAGTTATATAAAAGTATATTGGAATATCAGCACATGTGATTATACGCAAAAAATTTTCATAAGTGAAAAATACATTTGCAGTTCATATCATTTATAAGAGGCTGACTTAATGTAGAGCTTCTGTAGATAGATAACCAAAGACTAACAACCAAATGGAAAATGAGAAAAGGTTTTGAATAGATGGTTCTTAGAAACACAAATGGCTCTCAGAAGTAAAAAAGAAGCTCAACTTAAAATTTTAAGACAAATACAGTTCACGGCTATAATGGGGCATTTTTCACCTATCAGGTTGGCAGAGATGAGAGTAAATTATAGCACTATGTTGACAAGGTTGAGGGGAACCAAGCACATTGATACAAGTATATGCATAAATCAGCAGGTAGATAACTTCTGTGGAAGATATTTTGTCAGTGTGACAGAAATCACAAATGCACTTTCCCTTTGATCCAAAAATGTCACTTCTAGGAGTTTATCCTATAGATATTTATTGCAGCATGATTTGTAGTCATAAAAGATTGGAAATAATTTAAACGTCCATCACTAGGGCAGGATACTAGTTAAATAATGATCCTTTGTATCATATACTTCATATCAGTTATGATACCTTCATATCATGGTATGTGTACTGATATATATATGAATTTTGTGTACTGACGTATATGAAACAATCACCAAGTATTATGTGACAGTTGGTACAGAATTGTGTGTATTGTATGCCACCATTTCTGGAAAAATTTTTAAAATACATACTTGGTTATGCGTAGAGTATCAGTGAAAGTACATGTAAGAGATGGGTAACAGTGGTTCCCTCTACATAGCGGAACAGGTAAGAAAGAGACAGTTTTTCCTACCTGTGAATTTACATGTCAATTATTTTAAAAAAGTGAAATGGGCTTTTAAAAGTCATAGGGCAGTCAGTGAATACAAATAAAATGGGTAGCAGTCTTGATGGAGATAAATTCTGGTTTGAATTTTTTATTCATTTTGATCTTCTGTAGGATCTTTTCAGACTCTAATGAATGACTCTTGCCTTTGCGGCTTTATTCTCTTTTCTGAAAGGTTTCTCCCTGTTGTCTTTCCTGTCCTGTAGTTAGGGAAAATGAGGTTGACAATCCCATGCCGTGCAGTGACTTGTACACATCTACAGTGTTTTGATGCTGCCCTTTATCTGCAAATGAATGAGAAGAAGCCCACCTGGATCTGCCCTGTGTGTGACAAAAAAGCAGCCTATGAAAGTCTAATTTTAGACGGGTAAGTATATCCCAATGTAAGTGTTAGCTTATGTAAACATTCAGTACAGCCTCATATAAATTTTAGTTTAGCATCGTGTTACCCTTTTTATTTATTGTTGGGTTTGTGTACTGTGGGGTTTGTTAAATTCACAAGGGATATTGGTCTGTTGTTTTCTTTTAATGTCTTTTTTTTTTTTTAAGATTTTATTTACTTATTTATTTTAGAGAGAGAGCATGAGCGTGGGTTGGGGTGGGGAGAGAGGCAGAGGGAGAGGGAGAGAGAGAATCTCTCAAGCAGAGTCTGTGCTGAGTACGGAGCCCTACATGGGGCTTAATCCCACGACCCATGAGATCATGACCTGAGCCGAGACCAAGAGTCAGACGCTCAACCCACTGAGCCACCCAGGCGCCCTCTTTGTCTCCTTTTAATACCATAGTAATGCTGGCCTCATACAAATGAGTTGGGAAGTGGTGATATCCTGTCTCCTCAAATATTTGATAGAATTCCCTAGTGAAGATGTTTGGGACTGGGGCTTTCTTTGTGGTAGAGTTTTTAACTACAAATTCATTTTCTTTAATATACGTGGATTTCCTCAGGTTATCTATTTCTTTTTCAACCTTAGTGTGACTAGAAGTTTGTCAATTTTATTGATCTTAAAGTCCCAGCTTTTTGTTTTCATTGATTTTTCTTTTTTCTATTTCTTTTCTTTGTTATTTCCCTTTTCATGTTTACTTTCATTTTAATTTGCTCTTCTTTTTCTGGTTTCATTTAGGTAGAAGCTGAGGTTATTGATTTGAGTCCTTTTCTAATATAGAAAGATTAGTGCTTTAAATTTTCTTCCAAGTACTGATTTAGCTATATTCCATATTCATTTTTTAATTCCATTTCCATATTTCCATATTTTCATTATGAAAATTCATTATTCCATTTCCATATTTTCATTCCATTCAAAATACTTCTAATTTGTGTTTTTATGTTTTTTGGGGTTTTTTTTGTCTCATTGGTTTTTAGTTTCCAAATATTTGGGCATTTTCCACATATTTTTCTGAAGATGATTTCAAATTTCATTATGGGTATAGAACATAGTTGTATGCAGTTATTTTAAATTTATTGAGACTTTTACATGTCCCTAATCCTCCTTTTCCCTACCTCATGATCCTTTTTTCTTGATAATAAGCTTATAAATTATTTTTTATATAACAACCTTTATTATATTTGCTTATTTTTTTTAAAGATTTTATTTATTTAATTGACGAGGAGAGAGAGAGACAGCATGAGAGGGAACACAAGCAGGGGGAGTGGGAGAGGGAGAAGCAGGGGGAGTGGGAGAGGGAGAAGCAGGCTTCCCGCAGAGCAGGGAGCCCGATGCGGGGCTCGATCCCAGGACCCTGGGATCATGACCTGAGCCGAAGGCAGACGCTTAACGACTGAGCCACCCAGGTGCCCCTGCTTATGTTTGTTTTTATATGTTATGTTGGAGGTTGTTCTTTACTGCCAATCCCAGTTACGAGGCTCCAGGTTTCTTTCTGTTTAGTCACTGATTTCTTAGATGATACTCAGTAAGTCACTTATGTTGCTCATTAAAGATCTAAAACCTAGGAGGAAGGGGATGTAATAATGTAAACAAATGTGAAGTATTGAAACACCAAAACAAAATGTCAGATAGCATTACTTTTGTCTCCAGGGCAGTATATGTATTACTTTATTAGTTCACCTTTGAACAAAGCCGTTGATTACATTTATGTACTTCTTAATTGGTTTATAGGCTTTTTATGGAAATTCTCAATGACTGTTCTGATGTGGATGAGATCAAATTCCAAGAGGATGGCACTTGGTGTCCAATGAGACCGAAGAAAGAAGCTATGAAATTGTCCAGCCAGCCGTGTACAAAAATAGAAAGTATGTGCAGAATGGCCACAGAGAGCAAAGCAATGAGACAACATTGTCTTTATCGTTAACTTTGGCCACTAGAACTACATTTGGAACTCAGTTTGCGAACTTTATCTTTTGATCATTTGTTACATATGTAATTTCCCCGAAATGATTTTTACTCTTTCCTTAAGAAATGTGCTAAAGTTTATACCATCTTATAATTAGCTTTTTCATAGTATCTTGTAAAGTAAATGTGTAAAGTAAAGGAAGCAATCATCTAAAATTATTTTAATATATGTTGTTTGTTACAAAATTAAAAGTTATAAATGACATTTTTATGGACGGTTTTTCAGGATCGTTTTTAGGGTACCTTTTGGGGGAACTGCAAGTGGAGGTGTGCTTAGAGAGGCCACAGAATCCATCATTGGAGTGTGGGGGCAGGTGCTCACAGATTAGTTGCTAAAAAAGTGAACAGATTGTTTCCATTTCTTTGTGGGAAGGAATTTGACAATTGTCTTGGTTACCTAGGATGTATACTCAGTCGTCAACTCCCTATATCCATCCACACTGAGTGGGGAAACTAAGGGCAATTACAGTAATTGAAACCTGTAGGTGAACCTAAAGTTTTCTTTTTATCTGACGTAGTCCACTCACTGCATTTAAGTTTTGTGCTGATTATATTTGACGTTCTAACAATGTAATGAATAATGGGTACTCAGAGTAAAAAGCAAAAGATTCATGTTAATATTAATCATTCTCCTGGGGCACTTGGCTGTCTCATTTGGTAGAGCAAGCAGCTCTTGATCTGAAGGTCTTAAGTTCAAGCCCCACATTGGGCATGGAACCTACTTAAAAAATTTCATTCTCCTGTGACTGTTACTGAACCTATAGGTAGAATGATCAAGGTTTCCCTCATCTTTGGGAAGAATAGTGATTTAGTTGATTAGCTGCTGCTTTTCCATTATCAGCCAGGATTAGTTTTGTGTTAAACAGTTTACAGCGCATAATGTAATTTCTATGGTGAGTTAACATATGGTATATGTCGGCAGAAAGGAGGACCTAAGTGATTAATAGATAGTTGCTAAGAAAAGCTTTAAATGTCTGAATAACTTAAATGAGAAGTTTGGAGTTTTTTCAGCTCATCATCAAGGTTTTAAATTTTTACCAAGTTCTGGCTTATGGTGAGGGGCCTATACAGTCTCTGACATGAGTACCATTGCTTTGCTAGAATTAAGTATTCGATTCTGACTTAACAGTGCCACACATCTGTGAGAATACACAGCTTTTGAAGCCACATACTCTTGCCTGTGGCTGGAGATTGGATCCCTAACCCTCTGCTGTCCATAAAATGACTGCTAACCTGGGGAGACAAGTGTGAGCACCAGGATCTGAGCAAATCCTTTGGCAGTACTGGGGACATAAGAGCATGCTTTCCGAAGGAGGCTTTGTTGACCCTCTGGCAAGGCATAGAGCTTACTCTTTCTCCCCAGGTAAGCACTTTACAGACCAGTGTGTGGAGTTAAGGAGTTAGTCTCTATCCATTGGGCAGAGTATGTGGCTTTCCTGGCTGTATATTCTCCTGGACTTGCTGCACAGTTAAGACTTAATGGTTAGAGTTTATGTGTGTCCCACCTTTATTTTTTTTTCTTTTACTTCTCTTCCTTACATCAGGTTCAGGTGTCCTCAGTAAGCCTTGTTCAGTGACTGTAGCCAATGAGACAAGCAAGAAGAAAGTGGATGTTATTGACCTAACAATAGAAAGCTCTTCTGATGAAGAGGAAGACCCTCCTGCCAAAAGGAAATGCATCTTTATGTCAGAAACACAAAGCAGCCCAACCAAAGGGTTTGTTAATTTATAGTTCACTATTGTTTATTACACTTGGAACTGTTCTTGGTACAGGTTTGTAAATGTCTCTTTGAGAGTTGCATAACCATAGAAGGCTATTTTCATTTGCCTTTGTTTAGTTGAAATATTTTCAAGAGAGCACCTTGTTTAAAGGAGAAAATTCTGATGAAATTATTAACATCTTTGGGAAGTGAGAGTTGAACTCTTCTCATGTCTAAGTATTTCATATTTGATCCTTTTTTGTCATTTTCTGGAACCTAAATTTGGCATCACAGACCAACAGGAGTAAGCCTGGCGTAAAAATGGAGTGTGGCATTGGGAATCTGACAAGTGTGGATTCCAATTTTGATACCATTGCTTACTTGTTCTGGGATCTTGACTGAAATACTTGTGTGAGGCTCCTTTTTCTGCTCTGTAAAATGGGGTTAAATAATACCTACTTCATAAGATGATTGTCCGATTTCAATAAGCTAGTGAGAAAGCTTAGGCTCAGTGTCAGGCATGTGATAGTCTCTCAGTAAAAATTGGTTGCCTTCCTATTTCATCCTCTCCAGGGCAAACTGTGGTCAAGTAAATGCGTTCTAGCATGTAGGTTTTATGACTCATATGGCAGAAGCTGTTGCTGTCTTATGTAGTAAGTGATAGCTTTAAGTATCTAACAACAGGTGCTTCTTAGAAATTTTGGAAGCTGCAAGATAGTAGCAGAGGATTTTCCTGACATCCCATGAACATACTGTATTAGACTTGGGTGTGCCAGTCTTGTCCTTTGGGCCTCTCAGTGCACTTATTTTTTCTAATGGCTTTATTGGGGTATAATTTATATGACATAAAATTTTCCCATCTCAGCTATTAAGTTGCCCAATTCATTGATTTTAGTAAATTCAGGGAGTTGCCCATTCATCATCACAATTCAGTTGTAGAGTATTTCTAACACATAGTAAACTTCTCTCATGTTCACTTGCAGTTAATCTGCATTCACACCCCAGATCTAGGCAACTGTTCGTCTTCTTACCATCTCTATGAATTTGCCTGTTCTAGACATTTTATGTAAATGGAATTATACTCTCAGTGTATTTTGGTTTAAAAAGTCTAGAAGTTACAGCTGCCCAGCTCATTCCATGAAGTCAACTTAATTCCTAATACCCAAATGAGATTTACACATTAACAACCATACAGAATGAAGCTGGCTCACATTAGAAAGACCAATGAAAATTCTAAATTCAATCTTAGGAAATCATTTAATTATATATTAAAATGGTATCCATTACCACAAAGTAGGGTTCATCCAGGAATGCTTTATTATTAGGAAATACATTGATAAAATGGATTGTATCATAAGGATGACTATATAGTCATCTTAATGGATTCTGGAAAGGTATTTAGTTCATTAATAGCCATTCCTGATAGAAACTCTTTGAAATATCAGAATTCACTTAATGGTTTGAAGGGTTTACTGAAGCTGGTTTATTCTTAGGCTGCATTAATGAAAGAAGCATAGTGTCCAGGATATATACCCACACTAGTTTTATTCTGTTTAAGGCTAGATGATTTTTTCGTAATATCATTTTAGTCAGTATTGGTCATGAGAAGATGGGAACAGGGTGGTAAATAGTGCATACTGTAGCATGATGGGTGGATGGGTCTAAGGACTGAAGCTGTTAAGCCAGGGCAAGAGAATATGTGATATGTGAGTGAATATGTGAATATCTTGTAGTTCTTAAAAGGGAATCATTGATTAAGTTTATTCTATGTTATAATATTTGGGAGATCTAAATCCAGTGGAGGGGAAGATACATGGAAAGACTCTCAATTGGAGCTGAACGCTAGGAAAGTTGATGTTTTGTGCTAAAATCACATTTTCTGTATTGAGGTAAATTGGATGCCACCTGTTTCAGTGGATGTCATGGAGACTCATGCTATGGTTATATCCTGTCTGTAATCCCTTCCAACTCTTAATGCTTTTCTGGTTTTGTTCTTGGTCATCCTTTTCATACTGTCTTGTGGCTCAGCATCTAGAATTTTCATGATTTTCCTCTACTGTTTAAGTTTATCGTAGGACTTCTTGGTCAGTGATAGTAAGCAAATGAGAAAGAATAGAGAATGAGAAACCAGGAAAACTTTCTTTCAGTTACATTCTGGAAAGCAGTTATTTTTAAAGAGGTATTTGTTTTAGTAAAAATTGTTTTTTTTTGTTTTTTTTTAAGGGGGAGAAAGTGCACATGAGCGGGGGAAGAGGGAGAGAGGGAGAGAGAATCCCAAGCAGACTCTTTGCTGAGTACAGAGCCTGACTCGGGGCTTGATCCCACAACCCTGAGATCATGACATGAGCCGAAACCAAGAGTCAGATGCTCAACTGACTGAGCCACCCAGGCACCCTTAGAATTGTTCTTAAAAACAGTTTTATAGTTGTTTTACAATCAAGAGGTAGAATGCATTCCACCTAGACATCTGTTAACATTTTGATGGTAATCCTTCTAGTCTCTCTTCTTGAGTACCTACTCTAGTCCTTAAATGTGGTCATATAGTACCTATCAGAAGAGACAGCCACCTTAATCGAAGACTTTTAGAAAAACCTCTGATATTTTTCTACATTATAAGCTAATTCTAAATACTATGTCCCAACCCCATTCCCTGAATCATTGAATGATTACTTTGTCACTAATAAGGTATTCTAAAGACAGACTTAGGCAAATATAGAGATAATTTATTTCTGTGGATTAAGACTCATTAGGAATTGGTAAAAAAATTGTTGAATCTTTTTTATGTTTGTATGATAAAGTGGGAGCACACAGGAGATTTCAGGTTTATGGATAAAAATTCAAGTTGTTGAACTGTTAACTCATTTTAAGACATCTAAGTCTGGGCCAAGTATGATGAATTCAGTGATCCAGTATATGGTCTAGAATACTAATATTTACTCTCTAGCAGTGTTCCAGCAGTTTACCTTTGTGCTGTGATGTTATGGATAAAGCTACAAAATTTAAAATATATATGTACACATGCATAATGTATACCTATGCCTGTGTGTGTATTTACTAATCCTATGAGGAGGCAATAACATGTTACAAATTTTAAATTTTTTGTTACTTTATAATATCACATTTTTATACCCACAATTCCATCAGATATAGCCATTTATATTTCTCCCTTGTTATTCCATATTTATAAATCTATTTTTTTGCATAGGCATTAGAATCATACCTTTCTGAATGTAGTCCTTGTGAATATTCTGATTAAAACCAAAATCTGCTATCAGTGTATAATTTGATAATGGTCACAAATGACTAATTTACCCATTCCTATAAAAATGGAATTTGTGTTAATGGTTGCAAAGTTCACATATTAGAAATTAATCTACCCATAATAGTTTTTCAGATGTTTGCTAAGATTTTATTTTATTTTTTTTTAAAGATTTTATTTATTTATTAGAGAGAGAGAGAGAGAGAATGAGAGGTAGAGAGCACGAGAGGGAAGAGGGTCAGAGAGGGAGAAGCAGACTCCCTGCTGAGCAGGGAGCCCGATGTGGGACTCAATCCCGGGACTCCAGGATCATGACCTGAGCCGAGGGCAGTCGCTTAACCAACTGAGCCACCCAGGCGCCCTGTTTGCTAAGATTTTAGATGTTGATCTAATAATTTGTACCTTCACTGGATTTTGACATTTTCACATGTTGTGACAGTCAACATTTTGTACTGGAGAAACAAGGAGTAAGTTACTTAAAGTTTCATGTTATAAGAACAGAACCTATGTGATAATTAGATGTTACTATGGTGATAGACTGTGTCTTGGGACACTGACTTGATGCTGTAGGTGTAAGTAATGGAGCCAAGGAGGAAAGTGAGTTTTGTTGTTGTCGCCTATAAATCTGATTCAAGTTCAGAGGTCCATTCAGGATCAAGACAAAAGAAACTTTTCAGTGTGAGATAGCAAAGGAAGAGAAAGAGCAGGAGGAAGGTAGGCATGGGCATGTGCATGTGTGTGTGGTATGTGTTTGTGTGTATCTTCAAAAGCTTGTGTCTTACATTTAAAAAAATATGAAGATATTAATAATATGAGACAGTCAGAATAATCAGAGCCATTTTTTTAACCCCCTCCTCAGCATGAGCATCCCAGTCTCTCTCCTTAGCCCCTGTCCCCCCCACCCCCAATTACAGATGCACATTCTGGTGTGGGAGGTAGGATCACGTGTAATCTGAAAATACTTTTGGTGATTACCTGTTGTACTTTCATCCCTGTAGGAGGACCACTGTTTTCAAATCCCTAAGAAAAGGTGTGCTTTAACACAGCATAACTGACTTGATTTCATCCCCAGTTCATTCTTTCCCCTCCACAGAGTCTGCCTTTTCTAGTATTGCTCACCTCCTGTTTGTGGTTTTAGGTCTCCAGGAGGCCAAGAAGCCTTCTGATTCTAGCCAGGCAGGTTGCTCTTTGGATGATGACTTCCATCTTCATCTACCTCTGGAAAATGTGTTTGAAATACCAGGCTTCTGTTAACTGTCTCAAGCATGTTATGTTTCCTATGGATCCATTTTTAAGAGTTCTGAACTCTGAACTATGTTATTTATTCACTGTCCTGAGAATAACATAGTTGCCAACACAGCTATATATGTATTCAAGATGACTTCATTTTCCACATTTCCAGTGACGTCAGTATTTTTGACAGAGTATAGAATAAGAGCTAGACAGAATCCTCATGTCATCAGGCAAACTAGTTTTAGAATGACTCCAGTGTCTAAATAGGTTGTGATTATTTTAGTGGTTTGAGATTTAAATGGAGGTCATGAAATAGTTTTGTCAGTTGTTTAGAGTATGAAAAAGTGTCATGCAACTATGTCATCAATTCTTATCGCTAGTATGTAATAATTGGAGCAGTAACAGGAAGTGTTTCGACCAAAAGAAAGGACATCTAGAGGTCCTAGTGGTCATCTCAGTCTAGCTTTGTGACCATGGTGCTAAGTTTCTGTTGGTTTTACTTTCTTCGTTTTTATAATGATCCCTTCCAGCTACATAATTCTGTGCCTCTCTCATTAAGCTTACAGTAGTTCACTGGCAGTGGTTTGGGATGCTAGCATTAATCTCCCTGTGTCCCTGTCCCTTCTCCTTTTTTAAAATAAATTTTATTTTTCAAAAGGTACAGTTGGTGGGACCTGTTTATGCATCTTTAGTTGTAGTAGGGGCATCTCCACCCTTGGTATTTCTGGCATAAATCACTTGAATGCCGTGTTTTGAAAACAGCTTAATGAGTCCTTTACTAAGGAGTTCCTGAAGTGTTCTGCCCTGGCCAGGGAAATGTGAATCTTTAGTTTCTCAGAGACAACAGTTGGGGTTACTAGTTTATAGATGGGACTTCCTTATAGAGTTTGTCACATGGGGCCCTTGTCAAACCAGACCAGGTTATTGATCTTAGGTCCCAAACTCTGCCTTTGGACTATTTCTTTTTGGTTTTGGCCCCAGATTTGTTCACTGAGTCTTTATCTTTCTTGGCTGACTTTCCTGCATCACGTTTTCTTCTTGTCCTTGGGTGGCATCATGAGGCTCAGAGAGCAGCTGCTACCACTGCAGCCTCACTCAGATGAGGGACAAAAACATGGCCGCCGTGAGCCATAGGGTCCCTAACATTGCTTAAGTTTCTTGTGTACATTCAAGATGTTTTTCTTGGGAGGTTGGGCGACTAAGAGAAAATGAAGGCTAAATAGATAGAATGCAGTTATCTCTCTTTATTCCTGACATTTAAAAAAATATTAATTATACTGCTTGAAATTATAAAGCTGTAATTATATATATATATATAGTGTGTGTGTCTATACGTGTGTATATATATATATATATATATATATATAACCAATTATAGTGTATTTTTTAAGTGTGTTTAATTTGTATTCTTAGCATGATTAGTTAATTTCAAAGTCTATAAACCCTTTTAGGGTAGATGGTATCATAGTAACTTTATATTTTTATTTCTGGATATTTTATCTTAAATCTTGAGAAATCATCTTACTCTAATTTCTGACTGCTGCCTATTGTCATCAGGTTGGCTGGCTTTAGGATGGGCTATCTTTGCTCAGGTGATTCTCAGATAAGATTGCTGGTAATTAACACAGTTCGGGTTAGAATGGAAGAGCTTGTGGTTGAGCTCTAGTAAGTAGCTTCACTTATAAAGGTGCCATGATTTAAATCAAATCTTAGGAGTCCTCCATTTTATTTCTAAATTTCTTTACAGGTAAAATTACTGACATCCACATCTGTGTTGCACATACATTAATAAGAGCCTATGTAAAAGTGTATTTCTACTTGTGGATGATGGTTTTCTGTATTGCTCCAGCACCATACATTGTGTTTTAATGCTGGCTTGCTCTTACGTCACAGCTGCTGCTGAGAGCCATCGTACGTTCATGTTAAAATGACTGTTAAGAAAGAGGAGAGTAGAGTGGAGGACTGTGTAGTGAGTAGCTGCCATGTAGTTGAGTTGAAACTTAGTGCGCTTACAGCTGAGAATGCCCAGTGGTGCGGCCCGTGTCTCCTGTGAACTAACAGCCAGATTGTTTGTAATTTCCCGTGCTATTTAAAACAGGGTTCTCATGTATCAGCCATCTTCTGTAAGGGTGCCCAGTGTGACTTCGGTTGATCCTGCTGCTATTCCGCCTTCATTAACAGACTACTCAGTACCATTCCACCACACGCCAATATCAAGCATGTCATCAGATTTGCCAGGTATGTGAAGAGTTCTTGTATTTTGTTACCAAGTTTTATTTACTTTTAATCTGTGGAGCAAATGTAGTGTTAAAATTTAAACACAAATACTAAGGGAATTTGATGGCTTCATTTAAAGGTAGTATCTGTTTTAATGCATCACATTCAATTCCTATCATTTTAACTACAGAGCAATCTATAGATTCCTATATAGTAGGAAATATAGTAGGAAAATTTTATAGGTTTACTCTTCCTCCTAAGGAATTTGTACTCAAGAGATACTTTATCATAGAAGCTTCACAGGTTCAGGAGAGTGTTTTCTCATGATCTTCTCAGTAACCCATCACAGCTTCAGAACATAGTGCTCTACCATCGGGCTAACATTACCCGTAGCTTTAACCTGTGGGCTTTTTCTCCTCTGTAAAAATAGGATCTACCAGCTGTTTCCTTAGAGCACTGCTTGGTATTTAGGGCTATCTCTTATGTGTATATTAACATTTGAAAAGTTCAGTGCTGCTTGAATTACCTTAGAACCAAGGCCATATTTATAAAATTTGGAACTCCCCCTCTCGCCCTGCGCCCCCTTCTCTTCCCTCCATAGCCATTGTTGTTGTAGACATTTTTTGTCAAATTTGAGCAAGCTTGAAACCAATGCCTCTTGTATTCATGACTTCCCTTCTTTCTGAAGGACCCTTTTGGTGCAATACAGTTCCCTCCTCCTGTTCTTAATATTCTTTTCTAGATTTGTGAAGTTAATTTTGACCTGGAATTTATTTTTCTTACCCTCTTAATGAGGTCTTTATTTTAAGCACGGTATATATTCTTTTCGGCAAGATTTGTGTTGAAACAATCGGTAATTGTGTTATCTGGCCTAGTGTAATCTTGCCACTTGAAATTTATTCAAATTATTCTAATAAAATTTAATCAAGAGAAATAGACCAATAATAGTATCTATCAAAAATTTCAAAAAGCCTACTTAACTATGTTTACTCCACATGTACTTGGGGAATTGGTGTTTTAAACATTGTTAAGCCCAGCCTGCACCAATTAAAAAATATTTGTTGTGTACAAAACTTGATGCCAAGATACAGGGGAGGTTTCTTGGTCCATAAGACAGATGGAACTCAGAGATACTTAGTTCCTAATTGCCATGTTTTCCTTTAACTTTGTCTAGTTTTAAATGAGGTTGAAGAGTGTCCACGTATCGTCTTAGTATGTGTTATAAACAAGCATTCTGGAAGAATTTGTGTTCCTAAAAACCTTGAAATACAAATTAATGCTGAAAAAGCTTTCTGTTTACTAAAGCAACCCTGGCCATTTAAGACTAGAACAGCCACAATTTATGAATCACTTGCTCTGTTAGTTTTCAAATTATGTGAGTCTGGATGAATTTTTAATTTTAGAGAATTTACATTATTTCAAAATTTGGGCATAAAGTAGACTATTTATAAAATGTGCAGATTTAAGAAGCAATAAGTTATGTTACCTGTATATTTTGTAAAATATATTTCAAGCTGGTATGGAGGAACTAAGACTAATATGCAGGGCTGATACTTGGCCAGTATAAACCAGCATGGGGATACTGGTTATTGAAGTGTTGAAATGCTTTCTTACCAGTTGATAAATTGAACAGAAAAGGATCTATTGTACTTTAGAAGAATTACCAGTTTATCATCATCTATGAATTATGTAGCAATTACTGCTTCTAAATAGTTTAGTTTTTACTTTGGTTTCATTGTTAATGTGCTCTTTTGTAGTTAGTAATTATTTTGGTTTTATTTTTGTGCATAATTTTTATGTAATTAGTCCTATTGTGCAGTTTTGATATTTATAAATTTAATAATTTATAATAAAATATTAAATAGAACATCAAGAATGGAGAGATGACAAAGTTTTAATACATTTCTTAACATTCCTTTTAAACATCATAAACATGAATCTTCTGAATCTGCAGGGGAACAAAGAAGAAATGATATTAATAATGAACTGCAGCTTGGAACACCTCCTGATACTGTGCAACAATGAATACAAAATAAAACAAATAATTTGTATTTATGGAATGGAAAACAGCTTGATTATTTCAAGAAAAAATATGACTGCCTTATTATTGCTAGTGCCATATTGTCAGGTGCGAATGGTGCTCAAAAGTTTGTATCATTAAAATTGGAAAGTGCTAAACATTTACATATTTAGTCCTGTAGCATTCATGTTTTGTTAAAGTTCATGGCTCAAGTAAGGAAAATGTGGTGTTATTAATAAGACATGTAGAGGCAGTTTCACATAAAGAAACACTTAAAATCTAAAAACTACAATTTTATCAGGGTTAATAAAACAAAACATTTAGAATGTACCATCAGAATTTTAACACTGCTTTTTAGTTAAAAATAATTGAGCATTTTCAACCATGAAATACTTAGGTGAGCATAAAAATATATAGTATAACACATTGCAATTGAAACTTGTGAAATAAGAAAACAGTATTTACTAAACTACAAAACAAGGCAGTAACATTTTAATCCTTATTCATGAAACTCCCATCTGTTTCATATAGGAACTTTAATAGTATACTTAAAATGTAAGGTGCAAGACTTTGATAATAGTTTAAAGTTTTTTGTCAGAAGGAATAACATCTGAAATACTGTATCGAACTTCAGTGTTAGTGTTTGAGAAAAAATGGTTTCAGTGAGAAATATTTACATTAAAACATTGGATTTTGTGTGGAGAGCATCTGTGTAATGCTAGGGACACAGTCAAGAGTTTCAACCAATCTTAGAAACATTTCTAGTTGTTTTATTATGGCATATTAGAAGTCCCCATATTCAGTTATCCTTGGATAAGGTGTCAAAAGATATAGATGAAGTAAATGTCTTAAATCTTTTGTCAGTATATATCGACTGGCACACATGAAATGATCATCAGAGAGAATTATAGTACATCTGAAGAGCTGGGAATTGAAATAACGAAAATATGAAGAATCTTTGCACCTTGATGGGCAGCCTCCAGTGCTGGAGCTGCACAGTTTGAAAATTATATCAAGCCTGTATATTTATTTAAATTGCAGTTATGAAGTGGGAAGTGTTAAGCATTTAGAAAATGAGCATTTTTGAGTTGATTTGGCATCAGTACACAGTATTTCAAGAGATAGTAATACTTTTCTTCAGCTTTATAAAAACGGTTTGTTATTCAAATGGACTGAGTGATTCAACAAACATTAAAAGTGATTGAACGTATAAAATTAAGTAGGCTATAAAAAGCAGAAGCTATTAAAAATGTTACACCATTTGAAGCAAAACCAAATTAACAAAATTAAGTTAATTAAAGGACATGCCAGTAAACTATCTTTGTGACTTATAGTCAATAATAGAAATGTTGAACATATAAAATTCGGAAGGTATTATAAGGGCTAGACAGATTTTGAATTACTGTTCAGATGTGGAGGATTTACTTAATAACATTAATGTGAAGAGAAACTCTCAGCTTACTGAGATGTCATCTACTGATGATCAGTATAATGGGAAGTCATTGGAAAAGTTAATTGTGATCCCCTTTGTCCAGTGTTGGCTCAGACTCCCTTGTATCATAGAGCTAGTGACAGGCATATGGAGTGAAAAACCGTATTTAAAAATGCTTTAGAAACTGAGTGCTTTCTTTCAAATGATTGGTGCTATACCTTGTATCACTTGATAAGCCTTTCTATCTTATCCTTACAGATTATAAGGGAATAAATGTACTTAAAAGAGGTATAAATTATTCATACCGGTTATTAAATATTTTAAATATCATTTCCACAAATATCCTCTATTTTGAGTAACAGTCTAATATCAGACTTTTATTCTGTATGATTGTTATATTTGAGGTGACATTGAATGCCAGCATATAAAAGTTCATAGAATTGAACAGGAATTGGCCTGTCTCACTGACCTATACCTAGTAATTTTTTTTTAATGTTTTAAAATCTAGTCAGAGAGGTTTAGGGGGACTGATTTTGAAGTTTATTGCTAGACTTTTCAGAGTTGAATTTTTTTTATTATTTATTGTTATAATTTTAATACTTCAAAATTGTATTACTGGGCAAACTTTTCCACATTCCCGTTTCTAAAGCATAATTGGAGAATCCCAGATCTTTGGTTTAGAAAACTGCATTAGCTTATAACCCAGTAAACCCTACTAAGATTTGACTTGTTAGTGAGCAGCAGTTAACCAAGTGCTTGCTTTGTGCAGAGCGTTGAACTGTGTGAACTCTTGATGTGGGTACAGGATGACAGAGAGCGATCCGTGAAACAGACATCTGTTTAAGAAGTGATATTTTAGATGAAGCTCAATGTGGTGTATTTCTAAAAAATAAATGTGAAGTATCTTAAGAGCCTAAGTATGTTTTTTTTAATGGTCCGAATCCAGATCATTCTCTCATCATTTTAATTGCTTCTCATTCTGTTAAGTGATGAAGGGGAAAAGTTTGCTTTGACTAGTCTTACTTCCCTGGAAATTTTTGGACTGGTCCCTCTAAGTCTCTGGGAGGTGGTTTTTCCAGTTGTTTTGTGAGGGAATATGTTCATTTTGGGGTTTTATGCACTTTAGATATCACTGATTGTGGTATTGAACTTCTTTGTGGCAGAATGGTAAGCACTTACCCAAATGTATTATGACTCATGATAAATACAAAATGATTTTGGGAAATAATCTTGTCTCCAAAATATGAGACAACTATTAACAAAGCATTTTTGTTTTAGGTTTGGATTTTCTTTCCCTTATTCCAGTTGATCCCCAGGTATGTATCCTGAATTTAAGCAACTAATTTGTATTTGATTGTTGGTTATGTCATACTAACTAAAAATGACCAGTTGCATAAAATCAGGACAGTCAACTTTCAGCTACTTAACTTGGTGGAAATGAATTATATAAATATTTCACAATTTTATTTGGAGGAATAAAGTTGTTTTTAAATTTATATTTTTGACTTAATACCTGAATTTTTAATTATATTTTACTTAGTTTAATAATCAGTTGGCATTTCTTAACAAGCACTTGAGTGATTAAAATGAGAGGAAGCAGTGATGACTGGAAGTTAAAACTTCACAGAAGTTATTTGTGAAACACTCATTCTATATGTAGGAAAGAGCGGAAGCTGGTTCAACAGGCTTGAATCATTAGCTTGATTCTTCCTTGTGTTTAGAGGTAGTCAGATTCAGACTTCGGGGATGCCCCAGTCTAAAGTTGCTATAAACCAGTCATTCCTGTTTTCTCTGCCAGCGATAAGAAACTCTCGAATATCCTAGAGTCCCAACGTGGAGACCTGCAGTAAACCTGGACTGACAGGCATATAGCAGAGGCAGAGCAGAGGAGGGAAAGACATGGGAGAAGCGGAAGGGGGAAGGGAAACAGACTTGGAGAGAATTGCCAAGGGTAGAGAGGGCCAGAGGAAGACCCACAGACCACTGCTTTGTAGGCCACAGAGGTTGCTAAGTCTCATAGTGGCCTCCTGTGTCAGGACTCTGTATCTGATCAGGAAAACAGCACTGGAAATTTGGGCCCAGGGTAACATGTGCAGAATGAGGAATTTCTTCTCACCCTGAGTTGACTTTGTTACATCAGTAGATTCTTTAACAAAGGTAGCTATTTGTTTTTCTAGGAAATGGATTCTTCAGGCTTAAAATATTACTGATTTTTATGAGAATCATCCTTTTAAAAAAATGATCTTGGAACCCGGAGGGTTTTGATTTCGTAGTGCTATTTGGCATACTTAACGTCAGGCTAACTTACTTGTTAAGCCAGTAGAAGGGTGAGGTGGTGCCTTCAGTTTTCCTGAGAATCCTTAGATTTTTCTCTCCTTTACCTCCGTAGTGCCCCTTAAGCTCTGTTATCTTTGTGCAGTTATGTGCCAATTATGCATGAAGAGTACAGAGTTAGAGGTGAAATGGCTGCAACCTGAATATTACAAGAATTCACAGGGCCTGTTGATAGCGGGACTGTGGTCTCTAGCATTCATCTTAAGAGAGTACCTTTTTATTACCAAGCAGTCAAAAATGGCCTGAGAGGAAGTAGAAATAAAATGTAAATTTCTGGGCTTTTTTTCAGATTGTTTCCTCAGTGTTGGTGGAAAAGTAGAGTTGATTTGATTTTAAAATAGTTTAATGCCTTACAATTCTACTCTCTTTAGAGCTTCTGAGAGGCTCTTTAAGAACTCTTCCTTCTCCCCCAACCCTTAACCAATATCCATATGGTCTCTTTGTGCATGACATTCATTTTATTGATGAACCAAGACCGTTATCCATCCTAAGCACTAAACTACTTTTTTTGGTAAGGCATCCTGAATTTTAGTTGTTGCTCTTCCAGTTACTGGCAAGTGTAAGCCTGGGGCTGTCATTGCCGTTTTAAGATCTTTTGGTAGATCACGTAGTTGAAACAGCTTCAATTTTAAATTCCTGTTTGGTGATTAGTATGTCTAATGATAGGCTGAAAAATTTGTAGAATTGATAATATTGATAGGATATCCTTACTGATCTTCTTTGATACAGTTAATCTAAAGACAAACTTTTAGGACTTCTTCTCATATATATTGGACCTCACTTATTTTACTGAAGTCAGTGTTGTTGTTTCTCACATAAAATATTCTGTGGTGACATAAAATAAAGCTGTTAGCTCCTATCTCTCTACTCCTTTTGGACAATATTAGAGTATTAAACTCGGGTTTGAATTTGGGAGTCAGCGATCAAGATGGTAAGGAAACTTGAAATATGAGTTCTTGGAGGGCGGGTATCAAGTCTCACAGGGAAGATTAGATTAGATTAGATCTTTAAGATTTATTCCGAAATTTTGTGATTATGTGGGATACTTCTCTATTCTGAACATCCTGTCGTAGTTAGCTACCATGTAGTCTCTGTTTTAGAATGAATGCTATGCCCCTGATTACACAGGTATCATTTCATGTATGTCCAAAGGATTCAGAGTGGCACTATTGAGTTGATCAATCTTAACATTATTCCTAAAGGGTCTGATTGATAGTAAAGTGAAAGAATTACTGAATTTTGCATTGTCATTTTTGCTTAATACCATTAGAAATAAGTATTTGCTAGCCTTTTTGATGTGATTTAAACCTGGTATAAATACAGTTAGTGAGCAAATTCTTGTGGAGGTTAAGTATGAGTCATAATTGTGGGGCCAATATATACTATTAAATAATTTTGATTATTGTTGACATTTTTGTACTTGTACCTATGTATGTGGTCAACAAATTCTACAAGATTTGAGAAAATGAAAAATATGCTGCACTCACTAAACGGTAAAATGGTTTACTAAATTCATGCCACCTTCCATCCAAAGATGTGAAGTTTTGAGAAATTTCTAAATCCCACTGGGATTTGAGTATGTGGCTATCACGTGTGCATATCTAACAATTTCTAGTCTCTTTATTTAAAATCAATGTAGCCTCTTCCTCATCGGCATCATTGTTTGTTTCAAGCAGTACTGTCCTCCTATGTTTTTGGATAGTCTCACCTCACCCCTAACAGCAAGCAGTACGTCTGTCACCACCACCAGCCCCCATGAGAGCAGTACTCATGTTAGTTCATCCAGCAGCAGGAGTGAGACAGGGGTCATAACCAGCAGTGGAAGTAACATTCCTGACATCATCTCATTGGACTAAAGGAAGACTCACTCGATTCTAGGAATCATTCATCAAAACTGTTCTTTCTTGGATCTCTGGTCCGTGGAAGCTATTTTTTTGGTAACAATTACTTTGATATTTATTGAAACGTCAGACGGATTCTTTGGCTTTCTGAGAGATGAACACAGATGACTGCAGCAAGAACCAAATGACATGCAAGGATTTTTCTTACTCATGCTGTACTCTGAGCATCAGATACATTTGGCCATAACTATCTTCTCCAGAGACGGATTTCAATTTCATATGTTACTGGATGGATTCTACACACATCGGTTAAATTTTTTTTTGTTGTAATAAACAGCAATAAAATTATGTAAATATTCAAGTAAACTTTTTTCTAACTAAAAAAAGATGTAATCGATGATTCTAAAATGACAGCAACTTTTGTTTAACCTGATGTGAAGGAAAAATACCTGGAAGGAAGTAATGTTTGCTGAATGAGTCCTTTCCACGGAGATTTGTTCTGTTTCATCGAATAATGAAGTCTTGCTAAGTGGCCAGAGCTTGGCTCCACTTTTCTTCTGCAGTTCCTCTTTTCTTCCTGATTCCATCAAAGAAAAATGGCCTTTGTGTTACTTATTTTTCCCTGGTTGTCATTTACACTTTGATGTTTGCTAGCAGTTGCAAAGGGAAGTTCTGGGATTTGGCTGCTCTTTATCAGTGATTGTGTTGAAGAACACTATGCAGATCCTGCCCTGACGTGATGTGTGTTATTTTTGGTAATTGTACATTCTCATTCTAGAGATTTCTACAAAATTGGGCTTGCCTTCTCGAAAAAGAAATTCTGTGCAGCCATTGAATGTTGAATGAAATGTTTTTGGAGTAACCTGTGGCTAGAATGTTCATTGGAATTTTGTTCACACTGACCAGCAACATTGAGAGCTTTGAGGCAGTATAGAAGAACAGATTTTGGGGAGGTGGGATTAACAAAGTTTGATCTCTTCCTAGGAACTTCTTTGACTCATTTATTTTATAGATAATATACAGATCTTTGTTGAAACTTTTCACATTTTAGTAACACTAACAAAGCAGATACAATTTAGAACTCTGGTCACATTTGTCACCAGTACAGTCTCAGTGATGATTTTCAAACTTAATTAGAAGACACAAACAACAGCAAGGCATGGGGACTGCATCGGATTTCCTGTTCCTTTTTTTTTTTTTTTTTTTTAAACAAGGAAATCTTTCCTGATACCATGAAGGACACGCAGAGTTAGAAGTGTGTGAATTTAAGGTGAGGAAGGTTTGGGGAGGATGGTCCTGCAGCCCGCTTTGAAAAACACTCAGTGTTCTTGATTTTAAATCCCTCAGGAGACCGAGTTTTACCCTTAGAGAAACATTTCTATCCACATTTTATATTTCCCTTTGCTTCATTTGGCTCCCTAAATTTTTGAGTTCTCAAGGATTTGATACTTTTCTAATGTTTATCTTTCTCCCCCTAACTGTATCTACTTTAAAAATAAAAACCCTTTTTAAAAATGACTAATCTGATTTCTCAGACTTAAGTGCCCAGATGAAGAGTACCGATTTCAGTTAGAACAGGGACACTTCACATTACTTCAGGGTTGATGGAACTCCAGGAAGCTGACTTGTCACTGCTTGGGTGGTTTTTGTTTTTAAACACCTCAAGTTTTCATGGCCCCTGTGCTCCTTTTGTACTGATTTAATTTCATGTGATTTTCTACATCATCCCTCCTTTGTCTACATCATCCCTTACTGTATTATTCCTTTTGGAGAGCTGCTTAATGAAAAACGTGGCAACAAACCAGAATCTTCCTTAAAGTAGTTGCACCATCATTGCGGGTTTTACCTTCTTAGGCACTAGATTTCCAGTCCATGTTACAGGCCTTTGGTCCACATAGAGAATTTCTTCCTCGTAAAATTTTATGTTGCTGCTCTAAATACAGATGCAATCTCTGTTCACTGTAATCAGATAGAAAACGGAACTCCGATTTGTGTGGTATAATTTGTTAATAAATAAATGATGTATATTTGTTACCATTTTGTTACCCTTTAGATTTTCAGACTCCCCCCCAACATAATCAACAAAGTTTTATAAGGTTAAATGAAAATATATTCATAGAAATTATTTACTTGGTTCTTGTAACCGATACCTCTGTGCTTTTGTAGTTGTGCTTTGTTTCCTTTTTACTATTTTATGTGAACAGTTTTAGTGTTCATTTTTGGTGCTTTATACTGAAATTACATAAAATTTTAATTTATACAGGCGACTAACATTTTTAAAAATACACTTTTAAGTTTGTAATCTTAAAATTGGGGCTTTTATGTATGTATCTTGGAAGGTGAGTACTTTTCTTTATGCTTTTGCCTTACAACAGCACGATCATTAAGTCATTATCCTTTTTTTTTTTTTTTTTTTTAAAGCATGGTCACCAGATACTTATACCCAGACCCTGACTTTTTAGTAGTTTATTTTGCTTGCCCAGATTTTTGCTTAACCAAGTGTAATGCAGTTTCAGAGGAGGTTGTCTTAGCTGTTCCGTAGTCAGCTAACTAGTGATTATGTGGAGTGTCTTGTTTAAGGAAAGGAACTGCAGACTGCAGCTGCTAGTCTCCTCTTACAAACACTGAGGTAACCTGCGGTTTTGATCCTTATTCACGTAGAAATGTCAAGGCTTACCTTGATTTGGTGACTCCCGATGTTGTACTTGGTGTTGAATATAGCTTCACAGCTAAACTGTGCTTACATTCACTAACTTTCTGACCCTTAGGTGAGCCACTTTAGGATTTTGTAATTTCCATTTCTGCCCAGCAGAAGGTAAATGCCTTTACCAGAAGGTAAAAATACTTGGCATCTGTCATAGGGTAATTAATTATAAGGATAAATGAAATATTAGCGTTAAATTTAGTTTATGTGGCATTTATCTTTCAGTGTGCTTCAGGAAAGCTGGGATGAAAATACTATGATTAGGGGAGGATTTTAAGTATAATAAGTAAGTTGAGCCATGACTCTTGACATAAAACAAGTTTCCCTAGGGTAGAATCTTAAAATTTTGAGTTTGAAGAAAGAGTAAAATGTTGGATTTTAGGTGGAGTGGTATTCAACAGAGACTATTTAGGACTTGTTGACATTAGACCTTTCAGGCATTCTGCTTTCAGGCATTCTGCCTTCAGGCCAGTCCTGGACACTAGTCACTTAGTAACCAAGTCTGTTTTTCTTCTGCTAATATTCATTAGTTAACATTTTATCTCTTTAAGTAAATTTGATTTTTATAAAGCATTAGTTTAATTCTCATATATGCCTTTTATTTCTCTTTAGCCCCCAATTGGTACAAAAGCAGTTAACTATTTACCCTTTTCCCTTTTTTTTTTTTAAGTAAACACTTGTTTTCCTAATTTTTTTCATTTTGAAAAAATGCAGCGCTATGCGTCATTTAAACTTGGGTGTGATGTGTTTTGTGGCCCTGGATTCCACGTGCTGTGGGAGCTTATTGTCAGTAAGATCAGTGATTGATGATTCAATCTGAATCACCATTTTTTCTGCTGCAGTTCTACATGAATATGGTGAAACTTGTGGAAAACAATTTAAGAATTTCTCTGCTTTTTTAAGAGTCTGATGCTCCTGTCAAATGAATGACTGGTTTGTAAGCCCCCCCTTTTTTTGTTATTAGGAGCCACACTCCCAGTTCCTAGGAGAAACAAATAAAGCTCTATAAAAGTGCCCATTCTTCTTTAATGCTTGCCTGATTCAGTAATGTTTTTGTTTTTTGTATGTATGTCAGTAATACATGCTCACTGTGGAAAAATTAGACAATACAGAAAAGTATAAGAAAAATAATAAGCACTTTGATATTTTTGCATATTTCTTGCCAGTCTCTGCTACTTGTGAGTGTTTTCACATAGTTTTATTCATTCTCAACATAATTTGTCTTGGTTTTTTTCTCAGTCTACCTGTCATTAAAAACTGTCAACTTTTAATTGCATGATATTCCATTGTATGGATGTGCCATGATTCGTATCACCTTTCCCCATTGGACATTTTAGGTTGCATCTCATAAAGTTACAGTGAATATCTTTGTGTATAAATTATTTCCTTAGGTTGAATTACTAGAGATGGAATTTCTGGGTCAAGGATACAAACACTTTTGTAGTTCCTGATTCACTTTTCCACATGATTTTACTGATTTTATACTCCAACCATATGATATGAGAAAAGCTCTTTAACCATATTTTCCAAGAATATACACCATTCATCTCTGTGCTGGCATCTGCGCTAAGACCCTATACCTTTCTGACCCTGTGAGCTGCGCTGATTTGGAAGTAATTGACAACGATTTTCCCGGACTGTCTCAGTTTCAGCTACATCTATTTGACATGTTCCAGATACACCTGCCTAAGGATATCCAAATAATTTTTCACATAGTTTTACTTGCCCTGTGAAATAGCCCATTGTCAGACTATGTTTTCTATTTTTAGTTAGAAAATCTTGACACTTTTTTTTTTTTTTTTTAACCATTTGTACCTAGGGCCAGCCCTTAGTAGCCAGCTTTCTTTTTTTCCTCTTTCTGTAGGCTCCATTTTGGGCTTTCTGAGCTCCCCAAAGCCAGTAGGATCTCCTGAGCCAAAGGCAGTCCAAGCCAAACTGGAAGAGTGGTAAGGCTGACCAACAAAAGCAGGGCCAAGCTTTGCTTGTTTCACTTTGTATTCTTTTGTGTTTCCAGTGACATCTTGGTGTCCTAAGGGCAGCTCTGTGGCAAAAACAAAACACCCCCCCCAAAACAGATTGCTATCTCAAATGTTCAAGGTGTATTACTTTATTGATTGGCATACCACATAATTTCCCAGACTGCTTTTTGTTTCAGAATGGCTTCTTCATTCTGTGTTCTCAAAGCTTAACTCTTTTTAGTGAAGAAGAGGGTTGTGTTATAAAATAGAACATGTCTCTTATTTTGGCCTTCACCAAACTATTCACATATTCAGTGTGTCTTATAAATGTGTGTGGGATAGAGTAGAATAAAAGATCTAGTCCCAGACTTCAAAGGGCTCCTAATCAGCTTTTCCAAAAATCAGGGGTTTGTGCTAAGAATTTTACAAAAATGTCTCATTCCTTCCATTTGCCCTACAAAGGAAAGTGGTATGGTCCTCATTTTACAGATGAAGGAATAGATGTAAGTAAGTTTCTCAGTGGACTTGGGAGTCTGAAACAGACCTACCTCAAAAGCCCTCTGACTAATTAGGTTATTTGGGAATCTAGACCTAAGATTTTAATAACTGATGTTAGGTGATGGCCACAGGAATAAGGAAGGAGTGGACCCTGAAGCCATTTCAAAGGAAGACTCCAGATTCAGTGGTGTGAACAGATCCAGGAGTGAGGGCTGAGTCCATTTCTCAAGCCTGGGTAACCAGGATAATGGATCTGTTTACAGAGAGAGGATGCAGTTAGAATGGGCATTAGTCATTTAGGGGAGGCAATGAGGAGTTTGATGTTAAGCATGAGATTTCAAAAGGGAAGGGCCTGTGAAGTTTATGTTTGCTTTTCGGCAGTCTTTTGAAGATGTGAAGCCTTCCTTCATTGTTTTCACTCTCACTGGTCTCCATTCTGTAGATCTTCTAGTCCCTCCCAGTTGCCCATCCACTCTCTCTGCTAAACCATGCTCACTGCGTCTCCACATTTTCTCTGGATTTTTTCTCTTCACTGCCTTGTTACCTCAAGTCTGGCCATACTCTGCACCTCTCACCAGTGTGGGCTGTGTTTACATACCACATAACTGAAGAAGTGGGTGGTTGCTGCCCTACCTCTATTGTAATTTCTAAACATTTCTCCCCAGGCCTCTGACGAAAATCTGCCCCATTTGCAGCCCAGGCGAGGTTCTACTGTTAGCTGCTTGTACTCTTACCAAGTAACCTGACCATGTCCTTGGATTTGCTGAAGGCTTCATTTCCTGACTCACAGTGTTTCTTGCCATCTCTAACTTTGTAGTCCTTCTCAGTCTTCAACGTTTTGACGGATGATCCACCCAACAGTCTAGCTTGGGAGATTTTTGGTTACCTCTGATACTTTCTTGCACTGAAACGCCCTGTTTTCTCTGTAGTTCTTGTCTACCTTAGACTGCTCCTCCATTATTACAGCCTCAAAAGCATCCCCAGATCCCTCCTTCAGGGTCACCCATCCATCCTTTGATTTGGTATTACATGCTGCTGCTTTTGCCCATTCTTGTCGATTATTGCAAATGTTAGTCCTTTTCAGACCACACCTGTCTCCGCAGATGACCTTGCTTCCTAATGCACACAAGATTCAGTTTGCCAGCATGATTTCTCTCCACATGTGCCCATCTTCATTCTCCTTCATTACAGTCTCAGAGGATGAGGTGGGCCTGAAGGCCAGTTCAGCCCCATGGACTTTTGACTCTTGTTTCCTGTCATCTTCAGGACCTTCCTCCATCACACTCCCTCTTTTCTGAATGTCTTTCACTTCTCTGCTGCTTCTTTTGGCTTACAGAAGTCTCAGTCATCAAATACTAGGTCCTGTGTTACATGCCAGGCATTGTATCAGGCGCTCAGAACACAAGATAGATAAATACCTACCTTCACCAAAGTTGTGATTCAGTAGAATAAAGAGTGAAATAGGGAGATTACAGTGCAGTGGTAAAAGGCAAAATAGAGGGTGCTACAGTAGTACGTAGATGAGGCAACTGGCTGATGCTATGGAAGTGTCCGATGAGTAGGATCATGGCAGTTGATTAGTTGTCAAGAGAACTGAGAATATTCAGAATAGCTACACGTTTGTGTAAGAAAGCATGCCGGGCCTTATAAAGCAGTGAGAAGGCACTGAGGAGTTCTCATGATCATTAACAGTTGAGCAGCATTGGTTGAGTTTGGTATGATCGTCTCCAATTTACAAATGTGGAAACAGATCATGAGAGGGTGAGTGACTTGCCTGTGGTCATGCATCTTGTAAGTGGTGAGGCAAGCTTCAAATCCAGCTTTAACCACCTCCGTCTGTCCGTGATCATTCTATCTAAAAAGGTGTTAACTATATCATATCGCTGTTTATATTTCTGTATGGCACTTGTCACAACCTGTGTTTATATGTTGGTTCACTGTGTATTGTCTGTTTCCCTTACTAGATTGTAAGCTCCGTGAGGGCAGGGGTGATCTCATGTCACATGCATCCCAGAGCCTAACAAGGTGTGTGGTGCATAGTAGGTGCTCAATAAATATTTATAAATGAAGAAGTGGTGGATAACTGTTCGTATTTGACTTGTGCTGACAGGGAAATAATTTAATACCTGAGCAGCAGGCTTTCATCAAGAGAGGAAAACAAGAGGAGATAACGTGTTTGGGGCGGATCATAGAGGTGACACATGCTTGGGATTTGGGAGGAAGTCAAAAGACCCCAGAATCTTACAGGGGCAAGCACTGGGAATGGGGAATTTTAGAGCAGTGCACACTGAGGAAAATAAGGTGTAAGTAGGTATTGTATTTAAACCTGAAAGCCTAAATGACCCCCTTGCAGACCCAGCCTCCTGTGTGCGTATATGACTGGGAAATCTGTATAATCTACATACATAGGACCACTCATCTGGGTCAGGTACGCCACACTGAGTTACACAATACCATTGTAGATGTAATTCTGATTTGTCAACCTCAGTCTCTCAAAGGTAACAACTTGACCCAAGTCGTCATTGGAGTCTATACTTTGTTTGGAACTGGAAAAAGAATCAGTTAACCTGATGTCTCTGGAGATCAGGCCCACATGCCATTAGATGAGCAACAGGCTTATCCTGTAACATATGGGTAGTATTGAAATCATGAAAATGCAAGAGCTCAACCTGAGAAGTCAGTGAGAAAAGAGCTAGGAAAGGAACACAACAAAGAGATTGAGAAGGAGCACCTGAGGTAGAAAGAAATCAGGAGTGGTATCACAGAGTCCAAAACAATAGAGCATTCCAAGAAGAGAGTGTCAGTGGAGTTAAAAGCTTCTATAATGTAAAGAATATCCAGTAAAAGACCTAATTGATTGAATCCATACCTGATTGATTGTAACAGCTTTGTGTAAACAAAGAAAAACCTGATTAAACTATGACCCATTGCTTTCAACCGCATTGATTGTAAGATAAAGCTCATTAAAATGGGGAGGAGTGAATCTGCATCCTGGAATTTAAGAGTTAGGATAATCTGTATCTTCCTTTAGTTTTCTCAACCTGGCCATATCTAGTAATTGCACTAAGATCAAGTTCAGTGGAATGATGAGGGTAAATCTAGGTTGCATTGGGATGAGGACTGCAAAGTACAGAAATGAAGTGTGCAAATATAGACAACTCAGCTGGTCTAATGAAGGGTGAGGCTGTAGCAGTAGAAATGTGTATGGTGGAGAGAATTTTTTTTTTTTTTAAGAGGGAAAAACTTGAGTCTCATGTTTCCATGCTAATTAGATAGATGCAGACGGTAGGAGAGGGAGAAGTGAATGTGGGTAGTGCAGTAGGGGTTGGCCAAGATCATTGGTACATCTAGGTCCCTGAGCAAGAGGGGGAAGTTGGGATCCATATCAGAGGCAGAGGAGGGATGGATATGGACACAGTTGTGTCAGGTAGCAGAGAGTATAATGTTTTCATCTAATGGTTTTGCTTTTATGTTTTTGAGAACCAAGTGAAATGGCCAGTTCCAGAAACGGGAAGGAGATGAGAATGGAGGTACAAAGTCAACAGAGATAGAAATAACAAGTGTTAGGCTGTGGAGAAAAGGGAACTTTTGTGCACTGTGGGAATGTAAATTGGTGCAGTTACTCTGGAAAGCAGTATGTAGGTTCCTCAAAAAATTAAAGAGAGACCATATGATCCAGTAATTCCATTTCTGGGTATTTATCTGAAGAAAATGAAAACACAAATTCCAAAAAAGATATATGTACCCCTATGTTTATTGTAGCATTATTTGCACTAGCCAAGATAGGAAGCAACCTAAGTGACCTTCAGACTGAATAGATTCAATAGATGAATGGATAAAGATGTGTGTACACACACAGTGGAATACTATGCAGCCGTAACAATGGTGAGATCTTGCCATTTGCGACAACATGGATGGGCATAGAAGGTATGCTGAGTGAAATAAGTCAGAAAGACAAATGCCATATGATTTCACTTATATATGGAATCTAAAAAAAAACCAAAACAGAAACAGACATACAGAGAACAAACTCGTGGTTGCCAGAGGGGAGGGGGTGCAGGTATGGATGAAATACGTGAAGAGGATTAAGAGGTACAAACTTCCAGTTAGAAGTTAGGGATGAAAAATACGGCATAGAGAATATAGTCAGACATATTGCAACAATTTTGTATGTTTACAGATGGTACCTATACTTACGAGCATTTCATAATGTATGTAATTGTTGAATCACTCATTTTACACCTGAAACTAACATTGTATATCAACTAGAAATTTAAAAGGAAAAGACAACAGAGTTAGTTTGAAATAGTCTTTTTTTTTTTTTTAAAGATTTTATTTATTCATGAAAGAGAGAGAGGCAGAGGGAGAAGCAGGCTCCCAAGGAGCAGGGAGCCCGATGCGGGACTCGATACCAGGATCCTGGGATCATGACCTGAGCCGAAGGCAGATGCTTAACCATCTGAGCCACCCAGATGCCCAGTTTGAAATAGTCTTAGAATTGGAAAGAGAATGGGCTAGAACAGCAATGAGCTGGACAATATAGGTTTAACAGTGGCATCCATTTCTCTGTGGGACTTTTCAGCAGTGCTCATTGGTAAAGTCTACTTATTCAAGGCTGGGTTTTTGTAAAGTTGGTGCAACAGAAGAATGACAGGAATAACATCTTGAGGATGCTGGCAAGTAGTTGACACAAAGCTCAGCTGCCATAACACTCCTGAAATTATTCTTGCTGAAGTCAAAATGTGCACGTAATTGTCAAGTTCCGTGGACTTGACTTTTAACTTCAACATCTGCATTTGACACAGTCTCTTCCATTCCTTGGTTTTTGTGACAACACAATTCTTTTCCTGATTACTCCAGGAACTCCTTTTCTTCTCTCTGCCCTGGAAATGTACATGTAGGTGTAACTTTGCTTGGTTGGCTGCCTTTCCCAGCCACTTGACCCACGTTCCTTATTATACTCAACTACCCTCCGCTAGAATGTAAGCTCCACGAGGGCTAATATCTTTGTTTCTTTTGTTAACCACACTCTTGTAAGTGTCTAGAATAGTTTTACTTTTAACTTATGCCATTATATTTGAGGTGAGTTTCTTGTAGACGCATATGTTTGGTGTTTGTTTTTTGTAGAACCTTTATTGAGCTATAATTCACACATGGTTTTAGTTTGCAAGGGCTGCTATAAAACTCGTAAGGTGTCAGCAAGGTCGGTTTCCTCTAAGGGCCTTGAGGAAGATCTATTCCAGGCCTCTCTCTCCTTGTAGATGGTCGTCTTCACTCTGTGTCACTTCACATTGTCTTCCCTCCATGCCTGTCTCTGTGTCCCAAGTTTCCCCTTTTAATAAGGACACTTTATATTGGATTAGGGCCCACTGTAATGACCTCATTTTAATTTGATGCTTCTAAAGATTCTATCTTCAAATAAGGCCGTATTTTGGTGTTAGGACTCCAACATAACTTTTTTTGTGTGGGACACAATTCAACCCATAACACACATGCAGCTCACTCATTCAAAGTGTACAGGTCATTGGTTTTTGGTATATTCACCGAGTTGTGTAACCATCACAACTTTTTTAGAACATTATCCTCACCCCCAAAAGAAACTCTGTACCCATTAGCAGTCACTCACCCCTGGGTGAAGGAAGAAGTCTAGGCTTTCCATTCAACTTTTGCTGATGCGTAGCGATGGAACACAGGGTTTTTCCTGTGGTGTTTGACTAGAGTGATTATTGTCTAAAGTAGTTAAAAAAAAAAAACTAAGAGTGTTTTGTTTTCTCAATTAAAAGGCCATATGGCAAGTGTTGGCTAATAGAAATCTCTAAGGAAAGAGCTGCAAATTGCTAGAACTACTTGTAAGAAACATAGTTAAAAATGGTGGTTAATCTCAGGTTGTGTGAGATGATTCTGTTAATCTGTTCATACGGCATTTCTCTTTTTCCTCCCTCCCTCCCCCCCTCCCTTCCCTCCCTCCCTTCCTTCCTTCCTTCCTTCCTTCCTTCCTTCCTCTCTCTCTCTCTCTCTCTCTCTTTCTTTCTTTCTTTCTTTCTTTCTTCTTTTTTTGCAAAGTTCTTTAAATTTCAGTGAACCACGTGTTGATTACAGACTCGGAATAGATAGGTAGCCTTGGTGTGGTTTTGTCATCCCCTTCTCCCTGGCAGCTATGGCAGAACAATATCGGAGAAGGATTTCACAGGTGGAGGAGTAGGAGAAAGTGGTATGTGTATATCTCTTCTGAATACAGAAGTAATACTCATTACAAAAAATAAAAAATAAATCTGGGGCACCTGGGTGGCTCAGTTGTTAAGCGTCTGCCTTCGGCTCAGGTCATGATCCCAGGATCCTGGGATGGAGCCCCATATCAGGCTCTCTGCTCTGCAGGAAGCCTGCTTCTCCCTCTCCCACTCCCCCTGCTTGTGTTCCCTCTGTCGCTGTGTCTCTCTCTGTCAAATAAATAAATAAAAATCTTTAAAAAAAAATCTGAAATTAGGATTAAAGAGATACTTCACCCAGAGAGAATTATATTTTTAGCCTCACATTTGTTTTCTTTCAATTTGCTGCCTATTTGTTAACATGAAAGCTTCATTAATAGGCATCTCAAGAGATTATAACTGCTTGAAACTTAATTGTTTCTTAAATCATATTCCTGTACCTCTCATCGGAGAAAAGACAAAGTCTAGCAAAAGCTCTGGCAACTGGGTTTGATGATGTGGAAGGCATCAGGGACCCTCACAAAGGCAGTTTCAGTAGAGTGTGGTGAGAACAAGAGCCTGACTTGGAGGGACTCATGAGGCAGTGGGGGAGAGGAAGTGAAGGCGGTGGTTCCTGGCAAGCATGCGGCGATTTTTAATGCTGAAGCCTAAGGTATGTTTGTAGAAGGGGTGCTGAGGTCAGGGAGGAAAGGCAAGATTTTTAAAGGAGAGGATGTCAAGGAACTGAGAGGCCAGGGTTGGAAGGGCCATCCATGCAGATATTGAGATCACCAAGAAACGCAACAGGTGTAGTAGTGGACAGAGGAACTGAGCCGGGGGCTGGCTTCAGGGAGTGTGGTGAGTGACCTGCAGGCCCGTAGATG